TGTAAAATACAGAGGATTTTTTGTACAGCATTAATTTTTTAAGATGAACATCCATGTATAAAAATCTGAGAAGATAGGGGGACAGTTTTTGTTTTCCAGTGTATATTCTGAGACATTGACCCAGCCACTGCATTCTACCAGTGAACCCAGTAGTGGTAGATGGCCTTCAACCACCCAGTGACTGCCACCATTAGCTGCAGCCTGGCTGCCTCTGTGGCATACAGGTTGTTAGGCTTTATATGTGTGATTCAGAGAAAGAATCTTTCCCTACTAGCATGCAGAGAAGAGTGACTTTTAGCCCACTACACATTTGAAGATTTACCTTGTATCTATAGTTTTAGCTGTTGCCACTAAAACTATGCTTTGAAGCATTTATTTCTGAGAACAGCAGTAGAGATTTAGTCTGTAGGCTGAGGTTAAGAAAACGTTAGGATTTGTTACAACAGTAACAAGCCAAGGAACAAAAATAAGCATCAAAAATAAAGGAAATTGTAGTAGAAGTGTTTTTACTATTATCTAACTGTGCATTTTTGGAAATGACTGCAGTTGAGAACCATTTCAGTAGTTACAAATTATTGTGGTGTTACTTGCAAGCACTGTGGCAGGCTGGGCCTAGTACACTTCCTTTGACAGCTGCAATTGCTTCATCACAGGAAAATTGGGAAGGTCTAGAAGAGCTGCAGTATAAGGGCATAACATTATAAAAACTAAGACCTTGCAGTGAGGCTTTATTCCAAAATGATTCTCAACATCCTTTTTTATGCTTAAATGTATATTATTGGAATCCAAATCGTAGTCATCCTGCATAAAGATAATGGCTATAGAAAGGGATCAGCAACTCTTACACTCTGAGCACTTTACAGAATAAATTGAGAGAAGGAGAAAATAAATCTGCTTTCAACAGTGCTGTAGAAAGTTTACTTATGGAATGGATGTCTAAAATGTATAATAATTTCAATTTCTATGTCTTCATTTTCTTTTTCCCGTGTACATTAGTAAGTAAAGGCCTGCACTGCTACAGTCAAGGAATAAAACGTTAAAGCAAATCCATTTACCAAATCCAGGGACCTGGCTGGAGCATTTTCCATGAATTACCTTTCCAGCAAAGGGATCAGAATGAAAACATACCTCAAGGATATACTTACTTATTCATTTAATACTCAGGAACCCAAGTGGATTTTCCCGTCACTCACCAAACAAAAGAAATAGCCACAGACCAACTTAAAAACCTTAAAAATCTTAAAAATCTTAAAAATCAGAGCATTTCAATGCATCTCCTTAAAGTTGTTGAGAACCAACCCTGAGACTTGGAAAGCTGTTTTAACACAGCTTTGTAATGTTCCAGCTATGGCTAAGAGCTGACACAGGTATTTGCAGTCCCGTAACTTGGGAACTTTGCTGCTCATTTAACTAAAACTTCGAAAGGATCCGGAGCAGCTCCCTGATTTTTATTCTTGCACAGCCCAGTTTTCCAGCTCTGTGTGTTCCAGTGCCATCTAGTGGCCAAACCGAGACTGTGTTTCCAAGCCCCAAGATAACTTTAATTCAGAACATAGTTACCATCTCAGAGAATCGTTAACTCCTGTGAATTTGCACCTGACAGTCATCTACACGAGGGCTGCATCAGCTTGCAATAGATCAGCGCTGGCCTGGGGGGATTTAAAACCAACATTCCACTTATTAACAACGGAAATATTATATTATTATTATAGCTCAAGAAAAGGTGCTAATTTAGCTTTTAAGGGAAACATTCTCAATGCCCTGGAAGAAAAGCATGCCACGGATTTCATCACAGTAGTTTATTATTACAAGATACTGAGGATACCTGTTACTACACTAATGGAGGGGCAACGTGATGAAAGAAAAAAGCAGGAGCCTAAGTTAAACAGGAATTTGTGCGATGGTGCCCAGGGAACCAGAGCTGGTCAAGTCTCACAGAGCATGCAAACCCCTACCTTTTTTTCTGCAGACCTTCCAGACTGCACTCCACAGATTTCAAGCAGCCCCATGGCCCCTCTCTTGTCATGACCCAGCCACAGAAGTGTGTGTGAAGGTAGGGGAAGGGAGAAGGAGAGCAGAAGAGAGGAGGATCGCTGGACAAAGGGCAGCACTGCACCCAGGAGAGGCGCAGCTGGAAGGGGCTTTGTTTGAGGGTCATGTTGCCCACTTACAGCCTTGTGCCACAGCCCTTCACTCTGCCTGTTCATGCTGGACCTCTCCAGGATACATATGTTCCCATTGCAGACTCCCATCTGGCTGGAATGTGACAGCTGCATGAGGCACCTCCTTCCCTCAGAGACACACTGCAAGTACTGCTAAAAGGACCAGGAGGCAAATTTTCTCCCGGAATGGATTTTGCAGAAATTAAGGACATGGATTTTTTTCCAGACCCCAACATCTGGTAGGCAAAGTTTGTCATATGTTCACCTGAATGTATCTACCTCTGGTGGAGATACCCTTCCATTCCCCAAGTGGTATGAAAATATCCAACACTTTCCTTCCAGTAAACACTGTCAAAGGAGCTGGCATGGCACAAGAAAATGCAACATTCATTTACCTGCTCAGACTCTGGTGAACCCAGTTCCTTGACATGGGAAGCACTTTGATGCTAGGCATGGAAGCTACTGTGCTACAGTCCATACATCTCTACCTTGTTTGTGGCAGAAACAAGAAGCTCCCACAAAGCACAGCCTCTACAGTCCAGCAGGAAAATACCTCCAGCCCATCACTCATCTCTCATGGCTCCAGCTCCCAGGGCTGCTGGGAACAGGCAGTAGGCTGGGAGAATATCTGTGCGCCAGCACCATGCTTCTAATCCTTCATCCTTACTGAAGATGCTGTGGCTCCTTCCTCCTCCCAGCACCTCCTGCACACACATTCTGGGACACCTTTGTCCATGCTTTGGGAAACACTGAGGCCACTATACACTAAGACCACCACATGTGGAGACTGTTTGCAATGCCCAGACCTATGTTTAGCCACATGGTAAGAAAGGAGGCTGGTGCAAGCTGTTCCTCTTCTACCAGGATGAGCTGGTGTGAAGCTTGGGGACTGCTGCTATGAGACACTAAAGCCTGCAGCCAATTAAAGCTGGGGAAAGAGTCAAGAAAATTACAGCACACAAATTTATGAAGGACACTTTAATTTTCCAGCTGAAATAATACAGTGAAACTCACTGCCAGTATCAGCAAGGTCAGCAGTGAAACCATAGTCACCACACACTCTCATGAGGAACAGTACAGGAGACCTCTGATTAAGGGAAAACAAAAGATGGGTAACAAAACCCAGAACAAACACTAGAAAGCAATCAACAGTTATGTTCTTGAGTGACTAATACCTGCAATTATAAAAGTTTAATGATGAAAGATTTAAAAATAAATATTTAAGGGTCTGTTCCCTCAAAACCATTTCAAAGGAGTGAGAAAATACTGCTTGAACTATTTTTCCCTTAATGTAAGGTAACCTACATCAGAGTTAATATTAATCAACGATCACTATTTTGAGGTTAGGATTATTTATTATGCCACTGCCCTTCAAACATTCATATTCAAGAGATTACAACATTCCTCAAGGAAAATTGATAAAATGCCTATGTCAAGTTTTGTGAAAAAGAATATACACCTTCATTAATTACATCAAAATCTGACAAGAGCCCGTGTAACCGGTAACAACACTGTAGCCTGATGAATACACATCCTTGGAGAAAACACAGCTTACTCTGGCAAACAAAACCCATCCTGCAAGCCACTCTGCTTGCCGTACTGTGAGAAGGCAGAATTTACATGCTAGTCAGTGAATGTGAAGAATGGGATTTGTTGGTTTAAGTTCCTCCAACTGCTAGTTTACACAGGTGAAATACTCATGGGCAAGGGGGAAATGGTCACAACCTTTTTTCTTCTCTTCTCTTGGTGGTAAAGAAGCTATCACAGTTCATACATACAAACTGCAGATGATCTGGCAACTGTACTCAAAGGTTTCAGTCCACAAACTCTAATGACAGACTTCATATAAAAACAGCCCCATAGACAAATCTAAATGATTAAACCCAAACCTTTAAAACATTACTGAATACTAATGTATGGGGTCAAGCCATTAGCCAAAATATACACAGAAAAGCTGTTTATATTTTATATGATAGAAAAACCTCAGATTAAGAACTTGCGATAGCTACACCCATAGAAATTACAGAAAACAGGAAGTTGAAAATTATATTGGGATCAAAACCATCTGCAGCCTCTGACAACATTTTTTAACAGTTCTGTAAACCGGCACAGAAATACTGTCTGTATTAAATACTTTTTAAAAATAGCCCTATATGTAATCATGACACGAACAGGCAATTCTTGTTTCTAGCAATGTAACTGAAAGGCAGCCATACATTCCTGTGCATGTGCACAAACTGTGTGTAAAAACATTTCAGCTGGTCTTGGCTGCTCCCTAATTCAGAGGAATGTACCTCCATGTTAGGGCTCTTGCTAAATTGCTAGAATGAGTCATCACAAAGCAAGCAAACCAACAAGCCCCACAACAAATGCAGCCCTGTGCAGCAGCTCACAGAGGCCACTGAAGGCACAGTAAATCCTCTCTGAAATGGCTTGTCCGGACCAACCTTTTGTTTTTCCCCACTGCAATAAAAACAAGAAATAACATCCCTGAGAACCTGCCACGAACTTCCAAGAGACGCGGGTGAAGGGTTCCTGAGGGTGATCCCATGGAGAGTAAGCACTGCTATCTTGGGCTGCTGTAACTGAGGTAGTGCTGAGACCTGAGCTGGGTCCTTCACAACCACCAGCCTGCAGACCAACTGGTCAACTAAGTCTACCTCCTTTGTTAGCACCTTAGTATGAACACTGAAAGTGAAAAGTGTCCTTCTGAGGGTCTGCTACATCAGCTTATAGGACTACAGCACCCTTTGGGAACAGCTTCCCCACGTATAATCCTTAGCTTTTGAGAGCAGGGTCTCAGAAGAGCACACATCAATACTGCTTGCAGAAATACTGTAGGTGAACAGTAAAGCAATTTATTACCATAACTTCAGCAGCAGTTCTTTTTCTTCAAACAGATATTGCCCCAAAGTGTCTTTAAAAGAGATTGATGGGATTCCATTTCTGAAATAACCTAGGCAAGATATCACCCAGTTACATTTTAACAGGGCACTGGATGCATCTCAAATTAATATATTACCTTGGGGATGACAAACCCCAGATGCCATTATATCTCTAGACTAACTTGTTTTATAACACGAAATAGGTATCACAGGCCAAACTACCAAAACTCTGGCACCCTCAATTGAAAAGTGACTTCATCTCTCTGCAAGCTTGGAAATCCACCTGGCAGGAATCCACGGTCTGAAAAGTAACTGCTCATTCTGCAGAAGGAATGGCTATTAAAAGAATAAAATCTATCCCATAATCCTTGGGGTATGTTTCAGAGTTCCTAAATTCGATGCCAAATTTTAATGCTGGCTCATGAGCAGATTCTGCAACATATAAGAACAAAACAAAAGCCCAGTTGCTCCCAAAGGAAAAAGTTTCATGAGAATGCCTGCTGCTCTGGGGCCTTGGACATGACTGCCCTACATGAGCAGTTGGAAGTTTATAGTGTGGGAGTATTTACAGTTCCTGGCTTGCCCCAAAGGAGCCAGTTTCCCAGTGGTTCTGCCTTGCATCCTCACTTCATCCTAACACAAAGCAAAAGCTCTCCAAGGTAGGGAGCCCCTATGGTATTCATACAAATGACTGCAAGAGTTTCTCTGGATATGGGTGCCCTGGGGAAACTCCCAAGAAGGAGAAAACCACTGCAGATCATGGAGTTTCACATGGAAGATGTGACTGCTTGCTAATTCTGATCAATTAATTGTTGTCACTTCTCTCAAAATCAGAAATGAGGATGCTTTCTTCCAAAGCAGGAACATCAGCATTGATCTGTGGCAAATAAGCATTTCTGACCCACAGCATCCTGCGGAAGAGCTGGTTATTCTGCTTGTAGAGGCACCACAGGAAAAGGGAAATGGCAGCCAGCATCACCAGTGTCACGAGAACAGCCACAGCGACAAGTCTACGGTCTGATGCTGAAAGGGAGGACAGAAATGGTTCAGAAGAAAATACAGCTATAATAGATAATTCTAAATATAAACACATAGATGTTTTATGGAAAACATATTATTACTCCCCATATGTCACACATTTTAAATTACAGGTTTAACAGCAAAAAATGTTACCTCACAAAATACCAGCTCAAAATATTTTATTACTTCTTACATAAAAAAAAAAGAAAGGAAGTACAGAGACAACTTACCTTTTTCAGAGGGTTCTGTTGCATTAATATCTGAAATAGAATCCAGAACCATCATAAAATTGCCCACAGAGATAACAGAAGTTACCATACATACTCACTGTAGAATTCATACTGAGAAGACAATCTATCTAAAACCATACAAGAGCAGACTGTTCTTTGTTTAATTTGACCCATGTCAATAGGATTCCAAATGGCCAAGTTAAACATGATCTAATCTGTTACCTAAAATCCCTTAAACTTGGCAGGATATATTAACTGAGACTTATGCAAGGATGAGCAACAGTATTTATCCACTTTTTAAAGTATAAATGCATGAGCAGAAGCCTGCAGTGGTAGCTACTGTATCCAGCAGTGACTCAGGCACTTGGGGTGAGCTCTGGAAACACTCCAGTTCTCACAGACTCGCATTCCTACTAATGCAGTGTCTTTGTGGCTTTCCTATCATACGGGGTCTAGGGAGGTCAACCTGATGCTCTGCACATGGCTCAACCATACAACAGCAAGTCTACTGCAGTCAGCAATAACACAGTGGCTGCCCAGGTTCCTCAAAAGGAGGGTACCCCAGCTGGGTTTTTTCTATTTTTAATCATACCAAGGGATGGAATTATTCATGAACACTAAGAGCAAGTAAGCAAGCAACAAGGAACATGTAAAACAATGGTTATAAGGACACAACTGTCTTCTTTTATGGAAGCCCATACCTGCATCCATTTTACAAACAAATCCCTTTTTTTCTCTGCATGAAGATAATTGCCAGACACCATCTGTAGTCCTCAGGCTGATGCAGAAATTCCCTTTGAGATGATCAAATTCAGGCTCCCTGATGCCCCAGTTGGAGTAGTTTAAGGGAGAGCCATCAAACCAGGAGACTGTCTCATCTACAGGCAGAAGTCATAAATCATTATAAAATATCACAGCAGTTTGATAAATATCTGTTTCAGTTGGACTTACCCTCACATAAAAAAGACTGTATTACAGAATGCCAGGATTTTGTCTGTTTGACCACTATATCATTTCCTTATTTTACTTGAAGGATTTAAAAACATTCTATGTATTTGACGTAAGAGGCTGTAGTGCATCTTTAAGACGGAGATAAGGGCATTCACATGCACATATCCATACTGAGTATTCAGTATACTAAGAAGTAATGATTACAAGAAACTTGACTGGTTTTACTGCATCTTAAATGGGTAAGCATCAAAAAAAACCAAAATCTCAAAGGAAGATGGTAGCGTTAAAATAATCAAAATACGGAACAGATTCAAAACCTACTGTCTGTAACAAGCAGGACGTTCAACCAAACCATTTGCACAGAATAACCAAAACTGTGCAATTCTTCCAAAATGAAGGCATTTTCGTCTTCATCTTGAATAGTTAGAAGATTTGATCCTACAAAGTAAACACAGAACAAGTTTTCAAACAACCTATGTCATTGAAATGTAATACTGCATTTCAAAATGTTAATATTACGAGCCTGAATTGAAAAGCTTGAAAAGTCTGGTTATACAGTATAAATTCTTAAATTTGTAATTAATGCGAGAATGCTCAGGCTGATGCAAAACTGTTCTCACGTGATTTTAAAGAAGTTTGAAGGGAAAAACTAATTTTATGTGTTATTCCAGAAATCAATATTTTGGATGGAAAGGACCTTTTTTTTTTTAAATGTAAACTGCATCCAGCTTTGTAGCTGGCTTATGAACTTCACTATCAGCACCTTGAGCTAGTGAAAACTCATGCCACGATTTCAGTAATTTCAGATAATATGTATCACAATGATATTTTGTAGCTACAGAATAGTTACTTACCTTGATTTTTGCAGACTTCATATGCAGTATCCAAACTTGTGCCCTGCAGAACTGTGGAAAAGCTGTAGCAACTGTTTTTGAATTTGATCCAGGGAACACTTTTTTCTGAACATAAGGCTTTATAGGCAGTGAGTTTCTTTTCTGTGATAGAAATAACAGCATGGCTTTATTGGCACAACAATATACACATTAATATCACATTCCACGTTCTGTTTTGGAGTAGTGCTAATAAGCATGTTATTGCATCATGCCTCTATTTTTTCAAAGTGAAAATGTAGCAGTTGTATATATTTGTATCAGAATTGTAAAGCTGGCTTTATTTCTGATCAAAATCCTCGCTGGATTGCAACAGCAGTACCAGGACAATCTAACCGGTGCTGATGTGCAGAGGGAGTCATGAGCTAACTACAGGCACATCTGAGCACTCAGGGCTTCCCAGGATCTCCCAGAGGGCCGGGGATTCCAAGGACGGCATTGCACAGATAACTGATGCCAAATGCCGTGGCACAGAGGAGGGTTTCCCCCAGTAAGCAGCAGGCAGCCTCTCCAGTGGGCAACATGATGCAGCAGATTCCTCTGACTCGGGGCAACTCCATAAGCTCACTGCAGCATCACTTTTTGGCAGCGCTGTAGATCTGGCTATGTTACCTATAGTCTCTCCCATGCTTCCTACTTTGCCACAAAACACATTTAAAAATAACTAAATAAACCTTAGGCTGTATATGATTACAGAACTTGACATAAACAAATCAGAAAATTAGCCAGCTTAGTCACAAAAAACATGCGAAGGAATCATGTTTGTCTTGAAGGATTCCAAAACAGCTTTCTTCTCAACAGATTCTGAAGCTATAACAAGCTGTAGGCAAACCCTTGGTGATAAATACCACCAGACAAGAACTATTTTGGGAACTGGATGCTGCCAAAGACTCTGTAGTCCTGGGCTGAATGGAGCTCCAGACCAGAATTCTGGATTCAAATGAAGCCCAGGTAATTGACAGAGCAGTGCAGGAAACACATGTTTTAGGGTACAGGAAAATATTCTTATCTTTACAGAAAAAAGCTGCAAAATCTTTTACGTGCAATCAGTGAAGATGTGACTTTAATTTTTCACTTTGCTCTAAATGCTTCCCTTCTCCCATCCTACAGTTAATTGCAGCAAACTGAATTGATTTCCCTTCAAGCTAGGTTATTAGCAATCATCATTTTTCACAGATAATATAGTGTTCGCTGAAGAGACAAAGTAATTTTCCTGTATCTTTTTCTATTATGAAAGTTCTCTTTCCATTTCCCTATGGACCAGACCTTATGGCCAATATTTCATGGGGAAAATAGGAGATGCAACAAGGAAATGCCAGAAATACATTTAAGTTTTGAATAATACTATCATCACTGTTTAACCTCTAATGAGTTTCTTTTCATATACTTCCACTGTCAATGCACACATGTGCAGTTACACAGATTTAATATAAAACTGAACTCCGACTTACTAGGTGGCACATGGCAAACTGCTCCTTGCAGACGTCTTTCACAGTTAGCACTTTTCCAGTGCCCCCAAGTATCGATGTAAACACAGCTGCCAAAGGCCTGCGACTCGTCATCTTCCCAGAAGGTAAACAAAGACCTTGTCCCATCCGACCACTCAAAGTTAAGCCCGTTCTGCCAAAACAAATTTCAGGTTATCTTTCTGATAGGCTTTAGCACCACAGAAGTTCATCTTCTGATGGCATCCTCCCCAGCTATTACAGAATGGCTTTTACTTTTCTGAAAGCTGGGTAGATCTAGAAGGATCCACAAAAGGGAACTCCAAAGATCCTCGCAACTTACTTCTTGGAGACCACAAACTACATCTAACCTGCTGTTTTCAGCTAGTGGTTATTTGGGCCATTGAGCCACTACAAATGAAGCAACATAATTTCATTGTTGACCCTACAAGGGATATTTTATTTTTTTTTGCATGTTTTTAAACGTTTTCTATGGCTTTTAGTTTTCAGTACTCATTGCACCAAACCAGCTCTCATTAGATTTACGCACTACGACGCAAAAAACTTGTTAGGGCTCAAATTTTCCCGGGTTTCATTTCCAGATGCAAATTTCCTGTGACTTCAAATGAGCGACGCAGCTCATTAGCTTAATTCCGGAAACACTCCTCTGCAGAAACAAATTCACAGCCAGGGAGTCCACTACGTACATCTGAAGTGAACAGCCCGATCCAGTGGCTGTATCCCAGGCGATTCACGATGACTGTGAGGAAAGCTTGGTGATACTGGTTTGTGATGCTGACCAACTCCGCGCCGTTTGCCATGCAGGTTTTTAAAGCTGAAGACCATGTAAAATTCCCACGTAAGAGCTGATATGTTCTGTTTCCATATTCTAAGGTATCCGGCACAGGGTACGTTTCAGATGCATTGATGACATGTCTGGATGTGTCTGTTATAAACAAAAAGAAAGGAGTTATTCATTTCTTAAAACAAGCAGCTTGAAGGTCAGTAAGAAATCACCTGGGATCTGGTCATAACCCAGATGTCCAGCCGCAGTGGGCTGCAGAGTGCCCTTACCCCAGATATCTTGCATGTAATTTAGATTACTTCATTTTTGACACATTACTTTTAGTAATTTCCAAGATCAGTTTACAGCACAAAGCCTGGCCTCACAAATGACTGTACTGGCACAATGAGAGGATGACAAACTGTGGCTTGTGGTACAAGCGCTTGGGAGCTTCTTGAGCTCATCTTTACTATCCATGAGCAAATGTATGGAAGACCACAGTACTGGCACTTGAAGACAAATCCTTTGTGCACAGAGGCTTCAATCTCCTCTTGATGATAAACTAACACAGCAGTGTCTAAAAAAGAAAAAAGCAGGGCAGCAGTGGACTTCTTAGGTTTAAGAAAGAGAGGGTCTCCCATGAGAAAAAAAGGTCAGGAAAAAGAGACCATTTCCATCCCAGCCTCATCTGCGATGCTAGTGCAGCTTGCTTTCCTACAGGAGGCAAATGCCTTTACTAATGTGATGAATGCTCACAGTATACTTTAAGCAAGACTATTAAAATAAAGCAATGCCTCAATGTTAATCCTATTTGTCAGTTTGGATTAATTACCTCTGTCTATAAAACTTCTCTGTGATTACAAACTGAAGTGGGGTACTATGAGCTGGAGTGGTTTTTAGACTTGGCTCCCCTTATGACTAAAAGTCAAGTATCTTCAAAAAGTAAATGAATTAATTATTTGTCATGCATAAATTATTTAAAATTAGAAATTTCTAAGCAAGGAAAGTTCTGCTCTTGAGCTAACTGAAGCACTCTGTTTTGTTCCAGCTTTCAGAGTGCACGTCACTGCTTAAAAAAAAGAAAGAAAAAAGAAAGAAAAGGCAGGAAATGCAGTAAAACGTTGCCACAATCCTAAGCGAAGCACCACTAAGAGATCAGAACCCAGTTCAGATTAGCTGTTGGTTTATTTCATTTTAGTTTCCTACAGAAAACAATTCTAAAAAGGGGAAATGGGATGCGGACAGGATGGCAGAAGCAAAGCACCAGTTCCTCTTTCCAGGTACTGATACCTTCACATCTTACATTCATCCATCCAGGAAAACATGGGGAGTGCCCGGAGCACCCACTGCAGCCCCATTTCCCCCCAGTGCCCTGTAGCCTGGCTGCCCTACGGCAATAGTTTTCCTTCTTGCCTTTGAATGCCTTTTCCACCTGCCCGAAACAGCCACAAGGGGTTAAAATGCAAATGAGCAGGAGTTAAATGAAACAAAACAGTAGGAAAATGTATCGATTTATTTTTCTACACCTTGTGCAGGATTACTCCAGCACTCCCCGCAACTGCAGTTCACAATAAATGATGGCTATGGTTTGCTACAACCACACCAGAGCATTGCCCAAAGTTTGTATTTGTTTATTCTACTCCTCGACTCGCTCTCCTGCGCCTCCTAGGCAGCCAACAGGAGAGGTCATCTCTTTAGACTCAGGGCTTAACTAAGAGGTGATGTATGAAGATGAGGCATATTAAACCACCCCTGCAGTATGTACAGCACCCAAGAACACTCTGTACAGGCTCAGATTACAGGCCCCCCCTCCTTTGCTTACGGTTAATAATTTGCCTCTGATCTATTCTGGTAACATGCCCTGACAGCTTCCCACTGGCAGGTCTGCAGCTGCTCCTGGGACAGGCCTCCAAAGCTGCGCCAGCACCCTGGGGAAGCCAGCAGCTCCCCATCCCAGAGGTAGTACAGGAATGTGACTGGAGGAAACCAAACAATGCATGGTCCCCGCAAAAGCTTTGTGCTTCTAACAAGGGAACTTTATGGTAATAAAATTAGACAAGTGTGAAAAGAAAAGCCAAACTCTATTTGATCAACCTGCCCATCTGCACTACTCGTAGAAATACATTTTCTAGAGTCTGTTCCAATCTAAAATTGCAAATCCCCCCCCCAATAATCATATATTCCTCAAAATTACCCTCATTTTTCCTTTTGTGATTTCATGCAGTAACTCTGCTGCCATGACAGAAAACATGAAATTTCATCTCTATTCCTGATTCTACGATAGGTAACAAAAAGCTCAAAGTTTGAAAGAAAACAATTTTTTTTTTAGAAATTAATTCTATATCACAGCTATTAATTAATTAGTGTAGAGCTTGTCTGTCTACATATCAAACAATCTTAGAAATCTCTTATGTTCTTGGTTTTACAGACACCTATAACAAGTTGCTTCTGGATGAAAATAAAGTATAGCAAGAAAAGAGAAGCAAAGCAAAACAAAACCTTACCCTGATCCTTTTGGCAGACAAACCCAAAATTTTTCTGACAGTTTTCTAAGTACCATTTTCCCGTAAAATAAAAATTAGGGTTATTTGATACCACTGTACATAGTGGAAGTTGTTCTTCGGCGTTTGCACTGTTATAGCGCTGTCTCTGCAATCAATACAGAGCCTAATATTAAAAAAGACACTGTGTAAAACCAATAGATAATCATTACAGTAAAGTTGAAAGAATAATTATCTGAAAGTCACTATTACAAATATTTAGGTAGAACAATGAACATACAATACACATACAAATAAAGAGAATTTGAAACAATAAGCTTACTTTCACTGAATTAACTCAAATGCTGAAACAAGTATGGATTAACACTGTGTTAAACAATAGAAATATCGAATTCAGAATCTTATTCCTAAATTTTGCTCAGACCCAGCATATGGTACTAACCATATAATTCAAACTTTGGTGCTTAAAAGCAACTGCAAGAGAATATGACTATAGCCACAAATTGCATAAATAACTGTCTCGATCATCTTTTTTGCTACATGTAGTTATACCCATAAATTTGTGCCTACAGCTGTCTGAACATGAAAAGATTAAGAGAAGATGAAGTTGCTCTAACAAGTTAGGCCTTGTCTTTGGGACATGATTTTGATGGCTAAAACAACCTCATGCTGTTCTTAAACCCCCTGGAAATACTCACACGCACTACTTCAACTGGAGACCAGTTGGAATACATCGGAAGATTTTCATTCACCCACTTCTCATAATCATCACTCTGGAAACCTATCCAAACATTAGTTTTCTGTCCAAATAGATTCATTGTTATGAAAGCTAGAAAATGAAACAGGAATAAAATATTAACAGGTAACCACTTACGGATAGATGAAGTCTCTTCCAACACACTAAAGCACTGAAAAATTTCATTACTAATCAAGGACACTACATAGGTACTAGGAAGTAAGAACATGAGCAGTATTTCAGTGTCATCTAACTATAAATTCAGTTAAGCTGCTTAATTTCTGTTGAGTTAAGGTCTAGTCCACTAAGAAGTCTTCCATAAATGTTCACAGCAGCTTGAACAATTTATGTATTAGTTCAGGGTACTGTCCCATTGAAAAAGCTTTGCTCAGTTTTAGTTGAAAGTAAGATTTCTCAACTAAAGATAGCCAGTGAGATTCCTCCCACCTCCAAATAAGTGATTTTACAAACGTATGAAATTCAATCCCAGATTTTTGTAAATAGGGAATATAAATACTTCCCAAAGTACTGGCATTTAGTTCTGACAGTTAAAGTCTAGCACTGTGCTTATGTGCTGTATTATAGTTCAGGTTTTAAGCACTATTAAAGGAAAAAAATGAGATTGCTTTCATAATAGTATGACATTGCATTCATAATGTAGAAATTTTACATATCAAATTCTTAAATGAGCATTCCATTATATTTTTATATTTCTAATGCATGGTAGTAAGCACAAAAGAACTTATAATTACTCCTCAAAATGTACCTGTCACACAGCTCAGTGATTATTTGAACCTTTATATTTTGGGAAATCGGGAAAGAGAAACACTAACTTGTTTAAAGCAGTGGAACCATGAGTAGGATCTGAATATCTTTTTTCCTAAATCACTATCCAAGATGAAACTTTACCACAGCATCCTAACAAAGAAGAAATTTTATTTATTTAACAATATTTCAGTACTCAACCTTGTTCCAGTTCATCTTCAAGGGAAGCAAGCGATCCATCATAGCTACTGCAAAACACTTGTGCAGAGTACCAGTTCCTTAGATGCTCTGGATCTTTTGGAATTTGTATCAAAAAGCACTGTTCAAAAAACAAACAAAAAAATAGGGCTTGTTTTAAAAACTATTTATCAATCACCAAAAGTAATCACTAAAACATTTCACTTAATATCAAATATTTCATGAGTTTCTGTCCTTGCAATGGATCTCTCCAACATGCTTGGTATCAGTTTTCAGCTGTGATCAGGCTTGGATTCAAATCAGCTGTTTAAAGGCAAACACAATCTGGGTTAAATTTATCCTTGTGGTCATTGCAGTTCAGCACTGGGATAAATTGGCCACCTCCATGCATACTGCTATTAAGGAATGCGTGTATTTATGAGAAGCGTGATGAAATAATTGCCTTTTGACGTTCAATTGCAAATAGACTTTGTTTTATAATTATCTTTGATAAACCCTATTTGAAAAAGCATCTTGGCAAGGATGACAGCAGTTAGGGATCCATTTAGTACAGCAAGGGGTCAGAGATCTGTTTGGAGAGCATAAAAGACTCTTCAAATTGTCGTAAGTGGAAAAGAGAGGATGAAGCACGTTTTTTATGCCAAATGCACAAATACACTCAAGATAGCTTTTGCATATCTGAGTATTCATTTCCTTGAACTAAAGTAAAATTTTTGACACCTTATTAAGACACCTTATTCTCTGTGCAAAGCTACTTAATCAGTCCAAACCTCTTTATCACTGTTTCAGTAGTTAAAACCTAAGGGCCCTGCTTTCAAAAAGGGAGAAAATCTTCAAACATTAAATAAGCTTTAAGTGTCCCATTTCTGCCATAAACATGGAAAGCATTTTGAATAATCAAACAGCAGAAAAAATGTTATACTTTCAATCCAAAGTGCAGCCAGCCTTTGGGACATACTCCTTGTTGGCTCTGGTCTTTTGGGATCTCTTTCTCTATTTTCCATGCAAATTTACGTTTGCAAATACAGGGAAGAGAGACAGTACAGTTTTCGTCACCCCAGAGTCCTGTGTAAAAAGAAAAATCACAGTTCAATACTGGCTTAAGAATTGGAACGAGTTTTTCCTTAGGTAGCTTAGACATTGTTAAGAAGGGTATCCTTTAGTGGTTGAGTAAGATGACATTCCACATCAAACACATTTGAACAAATCACATTACAGTGGATTTGATGGTCCATGGGGCTCATACTTTTATCCCCAGTTTGATTTTATTAAATTTAACCAATTCCTCTACATTAAGTCACATAACATATGCCTGTGCGGTCATGTATTTGGAAAAAAAAAAAAAAAAAGAGTATAGAAATGATGCCTTCCAGATAAAATAGTTCAAGTGCCTTAATATTGAATTTTTTTGGCAAGATCCAGGTACTGACATAAAATGCTGACCTGCTTAGGAGGAAAATACATTTTTCAGAGCACTGAACAAGCTGTTGACCAGCTCCCATCTGCCAGCCAGCTGAGCGGTTAGGGTGGGCATCTCTTTCTTTTGTCTGATGTTAGCTATAGTAACGCCAAACTTAACAATTTGAAAGTCATGAATCAAAACCCCAAGATTACATGTGGTAAAAAAAAAAAAAGAAGGTTTTAAATCTTTTCAGTTTTGGCTTTTGAGGCTGAGATTACAAGGGAGCAGCAACTGGATTTTTTTTTTTTTCCAGCTCTTCTCACAAATACAAAGCTGGGTATTTTTTCTTTCCATGGAACCTGACATGTTTACTTTATCATATGACTTGCAGATCTTCAGAAAACAGACACTGTGAGATGACAAAAATCACTGGGACCAGCAGCACTGTATTTTATTTTTTTTTTTAATTACTATAGTAAAACACAGTTATGTGGTGATGTAAAGGCTAGCACCAAGAACACAGTACATCAAAATCCCTCAGCAGATGGGGCACAGGACATGACTTTGATAGATCAGAAATAAGCTAGAAACCTGAGTATTTGAAGTTGTATGCTGATGTAAAAACAGTTTAAAAATGTAGGAAAAATTGCTGCTCAGCCCATCTGGCTCATTTGGTTATGTGAAAACTAACTGTGAAAACTAGCAATGCATTAACATTTTTGCTGCGCCACATAACAGATTCTTAAGTAAAACTGAAGTATCAGTATCACTGGAATTTTTGTATTTTGATATTAGAGAACTGGAACTATTAATATACTTTTAAATCCCACAGATTAGTCTCTGGGCATATTAATGATATTTCACTATTCTTTTCATAACCATAAAAGCAGTTATGCAAATTATAACCAGGGACTTGAATATAGATTGCACTTCCTCAGAGCATTATAAAATATATACAACCCCTCTGGCCAACAACTTAGCAGCAAAAGGAAATATGAAATAAACCTGTTTCTGATGAAATGAAGCCACATCTTTTCCCTGGTTTCTCCTGATCTCTTTCCCTCCCTTCGTTCCAGTTCTGGTATGTTACTGGTGATTCATCTCTCCAGCTGCACAGAAATGTTAAGAGTGAAGTTACACTTTCTCCTATCTTTACCTAAAAATATACTCTCCATTACAAGCACTTGTAAAGAAGATACAAGGTAAAAAGGGCCCCTTTATTAACTAAGCATTAAAAAAAAAAAAAAAAAATCAGACAACGAACAACAACAAGGTTGATATTCATGCATTCAGCTTGTCTCTTTTATAACCCTTTCAGAAGAAATACTGTAACACCGAGATAAATTAACTGTAATATATTCTGAATTATATTTAATGAGAACCGACGTTATCTCTTGGATATCCCACTCAGTTATCAAACTATTCTAGTGCATCAGACTGAATGGCAGCCTGCAAACAGGGCACGCCAAGTGCTACTAACGGCAGCTGAAGTGTAGGTATTCTTACCGAAATTCATCACTGAAGTTTTCGGTGTGCAATCCAATCCACCAGTGAACATCACTGTTTGATAGCTATAAAAAAAAAAACATTTTGCCATATGTTTAGCTGTTGCTGTCTTCTTACCAAAGCATTAACAAACTCTAAACTCAGACTCAGTGTCCAGACTAACAGAATTTCTATTTGGTTCCAATGGGAAGAACAGGTGCTAAATCCTGCCCATGTTAATTTATGTCACTTCAGTAAGGTTATTCACGTAAGCAGAGCATTATTTAGCCCCATTTCCACTGGACTGCTGATATATCTGCTGTAAAGTAAGAATTTATGATTTTGTTAATTTGCAGCCTATCTGGCTTGAAAAGGACTGTACACTTAGACCAGAATTTGTTTTTCCCCAATTCCTAAAAAAATAAAGTAGCAAATATTTCCTTTTAGCATTAATATACTTCTGGATGTTTCCAAGACATTTTCTATGAATGTTTACTGAGCTTGTATATCTCATACAAGAGATTCCTAAAGATCCTTTCCAGACTGACTGTTGCTCTCATGGAAGGCTCTAGACCTTCAATCCTAAAAGGCAAAGTATTATGGAAAATCACAGAAATAATGTAATTCAAACACCCACTGTGCTGACTTGATTCTGCCTTAAGCTATGAACAGGCTTTACATTCAGGGTTAGCCACTCAATAGTCACAGTTTTGGGGTCTTTGGAAAAGAGCTGCCAACAACAACAAAGTTCTGAATGTTCAGGATACTGGAAAAGCCACCCTGAAAATAATATTCTTTTTGTCCAGAAAGAACTGAAGTACAGCCTATGTTGTGGCACCCACACTGTCCTTGGAGTTACAGTTAGGACTTCAACAGCCTACACCTTATACAGCAATCACAAATGAAGGAATTACACATTTCTGACGAAGAAGAGATTCAGGAATGCTGTTCAACTTGGTATTGCCTGCCCCTTGAGTTTAGTTTTCTAATCACAGCACTCAGCCTACACATGACAGTTTTTGAAGAAACAGTGAAAAATGTGATTTCAAATTCCATGCTAAAACCTTCCAGGGTCTCTTGAGGTACAGCCACCCACCTGCACATTAGCAGAGATGATTCTGATATGTTACTGGCTTCTTTAGCTAAATAGGGCTTCAGGAAGGGATGTGGAAAATGAAGACAGCAAAAGAATTATTTCTAAAGTAAAATGTGTTTGGGACTCTGTCTGGAGCAACCAGCAAGAAGACATTCCAAAAGATGCAGCGGAAAATAGCCAGTTACTGCCTGAGGGTTTATTTCTTCAAAGGGGTAGGTTTTGTTACCTTCTTAATTTTATTTTGAATAAAGGCTTGTTCACCAGAATTATTTATTGTTGCCATTCCACTGCGGAGCCAGCCACAGACAAATTCATACGTTTCCCAGTCCGTTTGACTGACATGGAAGAGATATTCTGCTCCTTGATAATATGACCATGGCAGCTCTAGAAAACAATGAAAAGTGTCAGTAGTGTGCAGTGGTAAAAACTCATTTCAAGTCTTATTCTTTGTAACCACCATGGCCTGCCTTTAGCCATGTGTCAGAGGACAAATATGCCACAATTAACAGCAAAGCCATATTTAATACAAATTTTGGGGGGGGCTGGGGGTGGCTGAGTGGAGGAGCAGGAAGGGAAGCACTAAAAATGCACTGTATGTTTAAAAATCATTCTGTAGAGTAGTAATATTAAAAGAGTTTGCCCAACTGTTGCAAAAAGGCAGCTCTAATGCAAGGGAGAGGTTATCAAACTCTTGTCTTATTACTGGCAACATTCCTTTACCTAATCGAAGCAGTATCTGATGCTTCAGTGTTATTAAGCAAAGGAGTGCAGATTTTGATCAGTAGCAACTAGTTTCTACAAAATTCTTTAATGTACATTTTTAAATTAGGACATTTTTGTTATTTTTACCAGTGACTTGAATTGTATTTCCAAGTTACAATGTTTCAAGATTTGAAAAAGGAAATGTTTTCATACCAGCTATGTACCAATCTGGGTTCTTTGGTTTAACACCTGCAAAAATACACAGATACATTAAAACATTGCTGATATAGAATGTAAAGAGGTGTTTCATGGAAATTGCTTTCTCTGCTTGGTAAGGATTCAATAAAAAACATTAGGAATATTGCTATTCTTGTTCAGGGACAAAAAAAGGAGCTTAACATGGAATACAATAAAATAAATAAGGAATTTGATTAACTCCTGATAACTAACTGCTAATCATTGCTATCCATTTTTGAACTGACTGGATGTTAGATGTGCTAACTGGCCAAGAAACCCTATTGTTCACATATAGTTTTCCTATGATTTCACCTAGAAGACCAATGAGGAGAACTCCAGATGTGGCTAAAGAGCAGGCTTTTAGGTATTTTTTTTCCTTGACTCTCCTGAATTGCAAGTAATTGGCATAAGAGACAATGTATGTTAATTAACATTTCACCTTTTGGTATTTTGCATATCCATTCACGCTTTTCATTGCAGTGTGCAGGGAAGACTGTTCGATTTACTTTGAACACACCACAGTTTCTTGAATCATCTTCAACATACTTGCCCTCCAGAAATGAAGATACAACCTGAAAACAGCACATTCATTACCTTTTGCCAACAATTCCAGATGAAGCATTTAAAAATCTCAGTACAGAAAAAAAGGAAGCATTTGGAGATGAGTCTATGGTAAGAAAATCATAAGCAACAACTAGAGGTCCACTTCAACTATGGTGGTAGAACCCAAGAACTAGGATCAACAGTCATGTTCTCTCAATGTCCTCAACTTTCCTATCTTATATCAGACCCCATCTGTGTAAGAATTATTGAATGGCTATGAAACCTAACAATTTTTTTACATGATTAGCAGTAGTGGCCCACATAGGCTCAACATGTTGCATGACTGAACTTTACACTCGTATTCTGAAATGACTTAATGGCAGAGCTGGCACTGCTCTTTGAGGCTGAAATCAAATTACCTTCTTGCTTGATGTTTAAACCCCAGGTACTAACCATTAGTGCTCAAGGATGCAAAATAAAAAGTGGTATTAAAAAAGGAAAGACTCAGCTCTGAGTGTAGGCATCAACCTAACAGCTGCAGAACAAATAAAGCATATGTAAGCACAGCTCAAAGGCTTTCCAATGTGTGTGCATGTCTATATATGTAAATATATATATCTATAAACAAATGTTCACTCTGCATATGCCTGGTTCAGGCTAAACACAACGTGCTTTGCAGGAAAGCACGTATCTGCAGGACTTCATAATCCTACCAAATTCCTTTTCACAGTTGCACAGCTCTTTTGCACAGGCTGCTGTTTTCATAGTTGTGTACTGCTAATCCTATTGTAACAATTACTTGGACTATGTGGGCATGAATGCCAAACGGTTTTCCTGGCCAACATTTGATCACAAGGCTTATTTTTTGAACTTATGCTCAGATATGACTTGACCGGTTTCTGAAATATACAGTATGCAGACAGTTACAGGTGTTCTGTCAGACCACTGCCATGTCCCTCCAGAAAGCAGGTTTCTCTTATTAAATCCAATCCAGAACTGTCTTTCTTCTGTCCTATGATGGAAACAAAGAAAAATGTCATTTCTTACGCACTTTTTCCTTAACTAAATCAGAAATTACTGTTTAAATAGTGCAAACACCCGTAATCATTTCTTCTTGAATTCAATGGATCATTCTGCAATATATTTCCTAACATTTTAGTACCCTCGAAGTAAACTCTGGTTTTCCTACTGAAATGCTGAATTATATTTTAAAAGGTGAAAACGTCTTCAGCCAGTAGTAAAAAGGACGGAAGAACTGAAGTTGTGGATAATTTTTACATATTACTATTATCAAGATAAATATTATTGGTGTTAAAAATACAGATTTACCTATCAAAAATTGTATATAATAAATTGTTTAAAAATATCTCTTCATAGATATTGCTAAAACTAGCAAGATGTGCTCCAAAATCTTGGCATAACGCTTCTGCTTCATCCCATGTTCTTCTCATCAGAACTTTTTCATTGTGAAATATCTGCAATAAAATAAACACTGTCATAAATGCTGTTGATTTTGGAGAGCAGTTGTTTCAGAAACCCATAAAAATCAAATATTGTTCACAGGTTTTCCTACACCAAAGCCATATGAATTCCAAATCTAGTTCTGATTCTCAGGACTTTCATTCACTTTCCAAAGCAGCGAGGGATGGTAACTGTTAATTTTTGTTTGCTGGCTGAAAGAAATAACGCTTTCCCAAAAATGTTTTAGGAACAGACTATCCCTAAGCTGGCATGTAGCATCAGAAAAATCCAAAGCAAGTTTGTCACATACCTTGTAGCAGCTGAGCAGATGAGCTTCCGACTCCCATCCAAAATAGCAGGAACTCAAATGCTTTTGAAAAGTAAGTTCAGGTTCTTCGTAAGAGTTGATTTTTTGCTTGCACAATGACATTGCTTTGAAGTTCTCACAGCTTTTCACCTCCCAGTAACCAATGGGCTCCTGCCCTCGTATAGCCACACATCCTCCAGAATGGCCTAGAGATGGGAATAAGTGTTGAGTCTCAGAATAAAGCATTTGAAGTTTGCGAGTTTTTGGTGAAGTAACTGTTTTATTGACATTGGGTTCTGGATAAATCTAGAATGAACCTATGAAAGTAGCAAATGGTTCCATCAGCAACCAGTTTGTAAGATTGTCTTGGCTGATGAGTTTGTAAATGAACCATGACATGTTCCTCTCACAATAATAAGCCACTGGTGACAGGGGAAAGAGCCCACTGCCCCCCCACCCCCCAGCCATTTCTTTTACTATTGACATGTTACTCACGTGGCTGGTACTTGTTCCAGTTTGTGTAGCTTACAGAGTGATTCCTTCCCGCTGTGCTCAGCCAAAAGTATTCTCCTGTGTTGTTAAGGTCTTGCAAGCCTGTCCAAAAATAAGTTCTCTCAGATTTTGCCATGCTCTGGATCATGCAGTTGATAAAAGCTTGCTCAAACCTTAATAAAATAATCAAGAGAAAAGGTTTGTTAGAATAAAGTAGAACAATTGGTATTTCGGTGAATAGCTCTCATGAAATGATATAAATTATGTGAGAAAAGAAAACATATAAGAGGTACTTAATTTTCTTTATAGAATGCTGTGGGGAACTTCAGGCACAAGTCTGCAGCATAAACCAAAATTTTTACTGGTATTTTTTCCAGTGTTTGGGCACATAAAAGGGACAGTAGATTGAGATATAAGCTCACTGTTTGAACTACAAGATGTAAAGAAATAATATATTAATGATGCACAAATAAAAAGAAGAAACTCCCTGTATAAAGGAGAAAAGATGGCAGAGTCTGAAAAAGCTACAGAAGAAAGAAAAGAAAAAGCTCTGCACAGATGTATCCTATTGGAACCAGACACAAAAACCAGCACTAAGAAACCAGAGCTGAAGCCCTCAAAGCACAAGCTGATCTGACTAGGAAAGAATCACTTTTTCATTCTTTAACTTCTTCATTAAAGTTATATGAGGGATTTACACCTTTTCGAAAGTAGTAATTGTTGTATATAGTAACCCATTTGTCACTTAAAACATAATTTATTCATATGTAATTGGTATAGAATTATACAAAAATGCTTTACTTTATGAGCACATTTAATCAGGTTCCTATGAAAATATATAAGGTAAATTCCCGGTTTGATAAAGAGTATACAGCCTTTTGATTTCACACATTGTTGAAAAGAACGGCTAAATACCATAAGGATGCCATTAATGTAAAAATCTGAATGTATGGGTAACACTGAGAGTGACTGAAAACTCTTAGTATTTTTATTTCCCCTGTGTGTTCTTGTTTTTTGTACCAACTCCCCTTCCTCTGCAACCTACCTTTTAGTGAATATTTTAGGATCGATGGATCAATACACTGAAAAGCTTTTTCGTTTTACACAACAGAACAAACCTCAGCAGTAATTAAAAAAAGAAAGTTAAAGTAAGCTTTTTTTGCCACTCCAGCATTGGAACTGGAAACTAACATCATAAACAGTGATGCCTACACCCAACAAAAATCAAGTAAGGAGAAGTAAGCAGAAAAAGACAGCAGATGTGCTTCCAGTGGCGTGGAGAGTGACCTCAGCTCCCTGTGACATCTGAGCTGCAAATGCTCAGCTGTGTGCTTTACCCTTTTTATCCTATTGTTCTCGTACCACAGTACAGTGCTGTCTGCATTGTCTGAAACCACCTGGCCGGCCCAATTCCCAATAGAAATCTTTCTGTGGGGTAGCTTGTATTTGCCTAAAATTTCTAGCTATCATTCACTGATTGCTGGTGGTTACATATTTCCCACATCCTAAAAAAGAAGGAGGAAACCTTCCCTGCATTTATATGGATGTTAAAGCATGTATGAAATATATCTATCACTATGACCTAAATTTTAATGGGAATCCAACATACAGGGTAAATCACAAAGATAGCAGAGAAAACACAAGCATCTGGACATCTGCAGAGGAGAAAGCTTTTGCTGAGGCTTGAATACAAGTAAAGAGGAACAAAGCAAGGGAGGACAGACCTCAGATGCTTTCAAATATTTACTTTCTCCCCCTAGTTTCTGCATAAAATGCAAACATCAATAGAAACATTTATAAAACATTACTTTAGATTAAAATTGTATATATTTTGGTTACAACAATCAAATATACTTTCATTTTTCAGTATCTTTTCCAAGTGCAATGATAAAGTTTCTTAAAGATGTTACATGTCTCTGTAGAAAGCATTTTGCTTAGATTCCTGCAAACTCATGTGTGCATATTGTTACAAGTGTTTATCAGCCTAACAGTTGCTTTTTACTATATTTTCAATTAAACAACAAAGCAAAGCACAGCTTTGATTTTAGCCAATGTTAGTAATTAAGCTTGCCTGTCACACAAACATTATTTCATACCGGTAATATCTTTTGCCATGCAATACTTTATAAAGTTAGAGTAGCTCTTGTTAGAGGCATCTGCTATCAATTAGGATTAACTACCTGTTCATTACTGATACAAGTGCAGATGGGCAGAAATAACCACTGGAAGCATGTTCAAAACTTCGAGGGGTACTGTCGATTTTGTAACAATATCCACCATGTCTTTCCCATCCCTTAAAAGAAATGAACATTATTTTATAGATTATTAATTATTACATACTTGCTAAAAGCTTGATCCCCTTTTGTACTTTCTGTCTGATCATCACTGACATCCCTACATCCCTTTTCCTTTCTGCTGTGGTTCAAGAGTAGCTACCCTCAATGCCACTGAAAATGTGGGTAAAGAAAGACTCTATTAATGATGCACAAATGAAAACAAGAAACTCCCCGTGCGAAGGAGACAAGATGGCAGTCTGAAAAAGCTACTAAAGTTTAAATCCTTATACTGTGTGAAAAGCATATTAGAAAAGATGAGCATCAAGGATAATGAAATGCATGGAGCTGCTTCCACATAAGCAGTAACTGTGCAGGCTGGGACTCTTCAGCCTGGGAAAAGGAGACGCATTAGGGAGGGCAGACTAGACACAGGCCTGCAAACTGGTAAGTGCCATGAAGGTGGGCAGCTACTTCAGTACAAGACTTTGGGAACATCAAACAAAACTAAACTAGCAGGAGGAAGGCTCAACATGGAAAGAAGGTGGCATTTTTTCATTCAAAGAGTAGTATATTTGTAATGTTTACTAAATAATGTTGTGAAGGTGAAGACCTAGCATGAATTCAAGGGGAAACTTGACAAGCACTTGGAGGAGACACCCAATGTGGGCTGTTAAGATACCACAAACCTTAAAGGGCTCAGGAAATCCCCTGAATGGTTGGGGAATCAAGATAAAACTGGGGGAAGTATTATCTGTATTTGTCCTGTCCTGCTCTTCCCCAAACATCACCTGTGGAGGCAGAACATGAGGCCAAATGGACCCTTATTCTGAGCTGCTGCCCTTCTGCTCTTTATGAGGCTTTGTAGCCTTAATAGCGATTGTCTTCTTAAAAGTACAATTCTCTCCCATTACAGCAGCCGTAAAGACAGATGCTCGATTTAGTACTATACTCTTATCTTTTGATGCACTAATTAAAGTGCAGAGGACTGGAGAAAATCACCAGTACAATCACAGTCAAGTTCTGCACACAGAAACCTCCAATTTGATTATTAAGCAGCTGACAGCTCCACAACCTGTTTCAAAAGCTGGTTGAAAGAAAATGTTTAAAGCAGTTACTGCAGTGTTGGGGAAAACTGCCCAGAGAACCTGACCTTTGCAATAAAATATTTATTCTCAGTAACAGCCTGCTGACTAAAAAGAGTATTTGACCTGCTAAGGAAAGAAAGTGCTAAGCACTTTTTACGTCTTAGGATGACAGAGGAGTAGGGAAAAAAAAAAGAGGGCTCAGGTTTCCGGTAACTTGATATGGACGTTCTGCAAAAACTGCCATCAGCAGAACCACAGAAAATGTTAAAGGCCAGTTCATCTGATGCACAAGTCACAAAGCCAACATGAGATGAAAGCTCAGTAATAACACATAAGACCATAAAGCTTTAGAAAAGCAAACAACTGTGCTGGAGGCCAAAGCTCCCTGAGAATCTACTAGCAATCCAACATGAATGACAGTAAGAGGTTAACAAAGCAAAAGATCAAATGTGAGAAAATAGATACTATGCACATTTAAGGTAAGGCAGCCACAGAAAAATGGGAGGAAAAAAAAAAGGTAAATCTGGATAAAATAAAGACTTAGCCAGAGAAAATTAGGCCAATAACTAAGAACAACAGATACACTAAACAGTAAAAGAGTGAGTGAACTCAAATGTCTGAAATGAAATGTAGCTTTGAGTAAGCTTAGTACCAACTTCTTTTGATTAAATGAATATAACTTTTCACTTTAGAAAGAAAAGGATCTATCAAAACCAAGGGACTACAACAGGATTCAGCAAATATTTGTACAGGGTGTGAAACATCAACAAGCAGGCATTTATCCTGAGTAAGTTTGCCAGACCAGACCAAACTACTTATGACTCGAACTCTTGAGTCTCAATCCTGTGAGGTACCAGAAGTTCAAGTGCTGTCAAGCTCCCGATTACAACTGGAAGTCTGGATACTCTGTGCATTTTCCAAATGGTGAGGACTGTGACAAAGCTTTTTTACACTAATAACACACAGCATTCATGAGTGATGGAATACACTGGTCCAAATGAAACGAAGACAGCTACACTAAACTCTTGGACATGTTACATTAGAACCAAGCAGTAACTTCTGCCTCCATAACAGTATGACCAGATGCTGGATCTGATCACTGTACATCTGGGGAAAGACTGCACCTAACTCCAAACAGTTCAGCTTCAACCTTCTTATAATTCAATTGAACTGCTTGGGTTTCTTGATTTCTCAAGAAAAAGAACAGGAAATTAAAAAAGGAAGACACTGACTTAAAAAGTAAAGTTGGAGAGATTTTTGTTGACAGAAAAGGAGGTTCTCAAAACTACTCCAGAGTTTTGAATAAAATACAAAGTCTCCAAGTTTGCTCTTTTCACACTGTGAAAAGGAACCTATGGCAAATAAAATCACACTTCAACACATTACCTTTTACTGCCAGGATGCAGAGCATAAAAACCTGAAAACCTGCTGCAATGCCCCATTTAGATAGCTGTGCTCCTTCCTATTTGTGTTTGAAGGCAAAAGAAATGCTAATATACGAGTGGAAAAGTTCACTCTCCGTGTCAATGAAAGCGATTGTTTTTCACCCTGACATTCCATTTCAATGTATGAAAACCATGTGTGGGATAAGGCATCGTATAACAGCTATTATTTGCACAGATGGTGAACCAAAGGGTTTTCACTTTTGATCTAGAAAGAAATAGGAACTTGGGTCACAACTGCTGGCAATGCAACAAGCCATGAAAGGCATCTTGAGAAAGCTTTTAATCTTACATTAAAATTTAGTTTACATACTTTTAAGGCAAACAATGAGATTTTTCCTAGCAAAACATGTGTGTCTTTAGAATGAAAAACTAAACTATCTACCTATTTACATGATGTGTCTGGTAGCTACACTTAGAGGCTTCCTATAGAATTCTATTTTAATATTAAGGCTTTAAAACAAACAAAACCCACAAAACCCCTTACTTCTGGACAACTTGATTCCAGCTCAGGAGAGACATTATTGAATTCCCCTGCTTTTTTGCAAACATAGAAAGATCTGTCTTCACATTTTTTAATCTTCCAGCGTCCCTCCTAAGGAATAAAAAGAAGCATATTCTGTACATACTCATACTGTCTTGCATATCTATACACATATCAGATTATTACACTTCCTCCTCCTATTTTAACTTTTCAGTAAAACCAAAGAATTTTTCTCACTCTATTTATTTATCCTTAGCTGGATCATTTATTTCTATCAACACTGTCAGACGGACTTTGCAAATCAATAATGTCTGTTTGAATAACTATTTGGGATGTAATCTACCTTAATTAACAAACACTATGGCCATGCCAAAGCATTTTTCAGAATAGATAGGAACTTTCTTCCTATCTATTTTAATTCTTTGTCAGATTAATCTTTATATTTGAACAGCTCTTACGTAAAATATTACAAAGTTTGTATGATATAATTTTTAAATCTCTATACACACTGCACATATATTAAACTTCCTTTCCCTTTGTGTTTTATAAGCTGAGTAAAATATGGTTTTGTGTATCTAAACACCACAATTTTACTGCTTCCAATGGAAACCCACTTTTCCAGGTCACTCTAACTGTCTTGGCTTTCCTGTGAGTTTAAGATTGCAATATGAACCCACTACTAGAGAGATAACAGAAACTCTTTGTGATACAGTTTTCACACTTAGACAAAACATACTTCAAAAAAAGAATAAAGGATTATAGTGCTACTTACATAAGTCACGTATTAGTGAATTTAAGTACTGTAATTGTAAAATAAATTTATGACCAAATTATTAAAAAAAACAAAACCCAAACCAAAAAAAACCCCACACAACCAACAGGGCCACAAATACCGGTAAGACAGGACATAGTGTTATCTGAACATTACTCCTACTTTTACAACAACTGAACAATTTGGGGTCAGTCTTCCTGCTGTCAATTTCTGTAATTTATGTAGGTTTAGGCTACTATCTGCTTTTGAAAGATGCTACATAAAATTTATTGACCAGAAGATAAAATAGACACAGCTGACAGTCAAAACTTGCATTTGAAGCTTTCAAGGCAAGAACTGATGCATCATAAATTATGATATAGACTACTTGAATATTAAATTGCTTTGTCTATTAAAATACCTACCCTTATTTGTTCTCTTCCATTTGGCAAGCTTTACATATGTAACATTTTTTATTGAACATAAGCTCAAAATCTCTGACTAATTTTCTGTGCATCAGCACTGCAAACTGCATTAGTTTCTAATGGCTACATTGCATTTATCGCAACATAAACATATTAGGAGTCAAAACCCAGTCATACTACAGGTCATGGTTTAAAAAAATATGCAGTGAGAAAAGAAATTATCATGAGCTAAAATGAGAGTGTTTGTCTCATTCTTTCAAAAAGAAAAGGAAACTTACAGGTCCTTGTGCTGAAACACAGAGCTGTCCTGTTCTTTGAAAGGTGTTAGGTTCCTGGCTGTGCCAGTTAGAGAATTTTACTGGGGTGCTATCTGACCACTCAAAAACAGCAGAGGTGTTCTTACTGTATAACCCAATCCATGTTTCAGTTACATTTTCTGTAAAAGAATGAGTTCAGATTTTAAAGGTGAAAAAATAATGCCTTTTGCTCCTGTAACATCAACACCACCATTAAAAATTATTAATGGAATTTTCACAAGAATTACCTTCATTAGATGGGGGGGGGGGGGAGGATGACAGCTGTATAAACCTTAAGAAAACTTACTGCTGAGATAATGTTGTACTGCCCTTGAAGGCTAAACTGTTGAAAAAATAGATCAACGTACACAATAATATGCTTTGAAATCCTGAAAAATACAAATCAAGGGCACACGCACTTTTTTGAAGTGCATGTGGGAGAAAGCCTGACATGGAAGAGAAAGATTATTTTTTATAATCTTTCATGGCATACTCAGCTTCAGGTTTCTCTGAGTGGTGTTTGTAAGTTCCAGTGACAGCACACTTGTAGCCACAGTGGCTGGCAAACAGGAAAGGCAGGGTTTGTGGTTTGATCTAATGTCTTACTTGGCCAGCTACAACAGCCAGAAAAAGCAGACAGACTTTCAGGCATGTAAGCCCTTCTCCTGAAGAGAAGCCTGAAGAAGGGATGAAATAGAAGCAGTAGACTTTGAAGATGAATACAAGCTGAGAACAATTACATCTATCCATTACAGCATCTCTGGAAACAATTGCATTTGGTATCTATGGAGGTTATTAACACAGATGAGGAAGATGATGAAGTGGTTAATCTCCTAAGAAAGACAGACAGGGCAGCAAAGAGGACAGGAGGTGGGAGGGATGATAATGAGAGATTATGTCCAGTAAACCCAGGTTAACACACCATCCTGCAACCACAGCTGATGGGACAGGGTGACAAAACATGTCACTGTGCCCCAGGTCTGGGAAGCTTAAACTCACGGTCAAACTGTGCAGCTCTGCCAGCACATTGATGTCAGCTGCAGGCACAAAATACTCTCTTTGCTGCTTTTATGACAGCAAAGGTCTTGGCGTCGCTGCAAAGAGCTTTTGTTCATTACGTCCCTTGTTTAATTATACTACCTCTTAGGACAATGTGGACAAGCAGGACCCCTTTGATACACCCTGCTGCCATCAGAACGGATTCTGCCAACAGAGCAGCAGCAGCTGCTTTGCAGTGTGGACAAGGCCAGCTTGAAAGCAAAAGATACTCTGAATTGCTTGTAGCTTCTAGGCAGAATTCTTGCGTAAGGATGATCACAGAGTATTTTGCAACAGTTTTGCAAGGGACCAGTCGAGAACAGGAAAGAACAAAAGCCAGCTTGTTTACTATAGCCTCACTGTGGTTACCTTGTTGATTAATTTCTTTAATTTAAGTATGGTTATTAGAGACGGTGATGCTATGTATTTTTAAGACTCCTGGAAGGAGTAGGAATCACACTTTTTTTTTTTCTTTGGGAAACATCGTTTGGGTGAGACATGTAATATAGAGCTGAAATGGCTGACAATGCTAAAGGGCTGCACGAAAGAGCATCACGAAACACCTCAAGAAACACTGAACACTTTAACTCCCAAACCTTACCACTTTCAAGCAAGTTAAGGAGCAGCTCTGCATCTGCCATGGAGGATATACTTATGAGCCCACTATTGTCACTCTGGCATGAGATAGAAGCATCATTCCAGCTCTTCTCCTCTCTATGAAGTCTGTAGCAGTTGCGATTGTGTGGGTACCAGCCAGAATCACAACGAGTGGCATAATACTTCCACGTATCTTTTAATTAAGCATACAAAATTTGTGTATATTAAGATAGAATTACTAAGGTTATGCTATGTTCATAACACATTCAGATCTACTTTATTAATCTTCATACACTGAAATCAGAGTTGACCAAGATGACTTAAGAAGGCCAAAACGCATACCCTAGGGAACATCACATACCAAACAAACTAAAATTACTCCCACTTTATTTTATGATTCAACCATTCTGGCTGCTGGACTAGTGCAAAGACACTAATGAATCTATTATCCAATTTAAAAGAGGTTGTATCTCCCTTATTACCTCTGAACCTGATTCAAAGCCAGCTAAAGGTTTTTCAGATGCATTACCTACAAAAAGCTTGGGTAAGTCCTTTATCTGAAACAAGTGGGAAAACTTTCTTCACAGTTATCAGGAAGAAGTTGAACCTATGTAAGCCGTTCTTATCAAAACAAGAATTAATCTCTGAATAAACCCAATTCTATGTTTAACTTCCCCACAGAATGTGAGTCTGAGGCATTCTATGTACCATCTACCCTACACTCATGATATTAACACTTAAAAAAAATACAAACACAGTGATTTTGTACATCAGAAGTACAGCATGCCATAAGAATAACTGCAAATTTTGTGCTGCATTTGTCCAACTTTATTCACTGTGGGCCAGGGTTCAAAGCTGAAAACCTGGTTTCAAACTCAAAAGTGTGGCTTTATAGTAATATAAAGAGAATGAGTATTCTGTAAGCCTCTGGTCATGTAAGGAACCACTTAAATGCTACCAATATTAAAATTATTTGTTAGCTTCAAGACTCTCAACATGTTTTCCAGGACTGCATATAAACAGAAGTGTTATTACAATACTTAAAGTAAACTGCATTCAACTTAAACTTGCAAACCTATATATTTAATCCAGCTAAGACTCTGTTCTGCTGACTTTATATTCATGTGGCTTTCTCTTGTTCTCCCTCCACACCCATGAACAGGATACAGTAATACTGAAAGACTTACCCAGTGTTTCATGCTCTGTCTTATTTAAGTATTTTTTGCATACAAAAGGCAATCCAGATTCACATAAATAACTTTGCCAACCATACTTCAATTTTGAATTTATCACTGCACAATGATTTTCTCTAAACCGGTTATCAGAGACATCTGCAAACATATTTTTGAGAAGCACAAGATTACAAAAAAATCAGTTCTTGCAAGATGGTGTTGCAAGGTGCTCTGCATCTTACTGAACGCATGTACATGCATCTCTGCACACCCAAACACCAATACCATGAACAGCTGAACACTGACCATGAGTTATACATGTGTAGCAATTCCTCTTTGGCTGCTGCTATGAGATGAGAGGCTGAAATAAGCTCTAGTATCTATTTATACCTGTTGGTGGGCAGACTCAAAATGGAGCAAACCGAGTTACATGCTGATGTGCTTTAACAGGATGTTAATGTAAACAAACTCAAACTCCTTTTGTTTTCATTAAACTAGCTAGATCATAGCTTTTAAATATGCAACTGGAATCTTAAAAATGCCTTTAAAGGTAAACGACAAAAGGGCTAGATGGTCGATGCTTTGAACAGATCATTTCAATTGATGCTACATCTCTAGGAGCTTTTAGTTCATGAATATGAATAAATATTCCGACCGAAAAAAGAAGTACACTTGTTCATTTGATTCACTTTTCAAACACAGCTGTAGGAACAGCAGTCTTGTATCAAGCAGCAGTTACAGACAGCAAATAATTGCACCGCTATAACATATACAAAAGGAACATCAAGTACTTGCTCTCCAGTTCACAAATACTAGTGGTGCTCCATCTGACCACTGCCAGCCAGCATCTTCCTCCAGGTGGTTGAGGCCTGTCCACAGCATCATGTCTGTGGCATTTAACTGCACTGAAACAGAAAAAAAAAAGTAATACTTCACTCTTTCTCCATGTTTTAAAACATCTACAGGTATAGACCTGCTGTCCTGACTTACTACAGTAGGAATAAAACAAAATTTCAAATCAGCCTTCAGAAAGTTCAGGCTGTTTTCTCTGTCCTTAGAAAATGTCTATTACTTTGTTAATCAACACAGATTAAAAGCAATAAACTCAGAAGTCTGCATCCTTCAAAAGCTACTTATCCTGCAAACCCTTCCTGTTGCCAACCTTAAAAGTTAATGTAGGACAAGCAGCTACATAAATGCTAGCCTGTTCCAGCTTTCCATAAACCATGCTCAGTCCCATTACAGCTTACAGGCATATCAAGCAGCTGATGAAATAATTGTAAAAACTTCCTGTTGGCTTATATCCTGCAATTGAAAATTTGCAATAATGGGAAGCACTGAGAAAGAAACCTGAGGCAGCCTTTTGCATCACAGCTTTCCCACCCATTCCTCCATCTGGTCCTCTCCACACATGCTGAATATCCACAGAAGGCTCTCACGCTGTCAGAAGGCTCCACAAAATTTGTCTGAGATGCTTGCCGTACAGGGGAAAACAAAAGGCTTATCAGAGGAGGACTACCATCCATTTATGGAAGCAGAGTTGCCATTTTCCCCCATACAGGATATTTACTTCAAGCTTGCAAAATGTTCTCATCGTTCACATTTGCAAGATAATTTATTTTCTTGCAAAGAAAGCTTAACAGGAGAAAGGGACACCATTGTGGAGAAGGTAAATGCTTGTATAATCCTCCAAAGAAAACAAACACACTCCATAAAACAGCTGCAAGAAAGAATGAGACTCTCTGTGAGGAGGGATAATTAAGACAATTATACCCTCCATTAACACACACCACCACTTCTGTGCTCAGGTTGTTAAGATGGTAGCTTATCTTCACCCTTGCTTTTTCAAACAAAGACTCACAAGCAGCAACGGGGGAGACATCACAAGCTCCAATGCTTACCTCTTTTTCACAGGTAAAGAGGAAATCTAACTACATCTCTGGTTACTACAAGGTCCCCAGAGAAATGTCTACTCACTGCTTAGGTTGCTTATGTAGTTCTGCTCTTCGGGGTTGGTGACACTCAGCAGGTCTCCTCCTTGCAGCTGACAGGCAGCTCTTGCCTCACGCCAGGTCAGCACAGATGCAAGGTTGAACTGGTAGCAAAGGTTTGTGTCAGGGTTCTTCTTCCAAAAAACGTCGCAGCCACTCTCTGCTTAAAAACAAACCCATCACCAACAGCCCGAGACCACAAACTAATCAGAAATGCAGTAACTTGAACAATTCAATTAATGACAATGGCATCCCAATGGAAGAACAATTCTGAACTCCTTTCATGTTCCTTTTTTAACGAACATATGGAACTAGGGCACTAACAGAATAAAATGTTGCTCCATATTTAATACAGCTGATAAAATACTTGGGAGTTGATCTGCAGGTGGTGGTGATTTTCACAGCACTTGTAAAGTCCACAGAGCTACATTTTCATTTATACCAGCTGATCCTAAAGCTGAATGTTAAAATATTCAAACTATGAACACCTCACCCAACTTGCAGAGAAGCAGTCGCTGGGTGTCCTTCTATCTTGTACTCAAGACAATAAACTTACTGTAATTACAAAGTATAAGCAAGGCTGAAAATACCATCTATTATAATGGTTGCCCAGCTGGTTTTAAGAAGCATTGCAACAAAGATCTGAAAAGTAGTTTAAGCAGGGAGGCCTTTTCCAAACCACTTCTGCTGAGAGAAAATACTATTTTGTTTATTTATACAAGAAGCTGGAATATCCATAGAGATCATACATCCAAAATATTTCTGATAGCAACTATTTTTAAGGCTATTGCTTCCATGTGTTTTAGGCCCAAGACATGTCCAAGTATGCACAGAAGAAAAAGAATGTGCAAGATGTAATACAGTCAAAAGCAAAACGTGAATTTGGAAGGACAGCCTTTACATGCTTCAGAGATGCTCTATATATATATCACTGGGACAGAGGAGAGCTTTAGCTGCAGGGTTACATCAGTGGTCTGTGTGGAATAACACCCTTCTGCTTCCGCCCTATCATACTTTTGCTTTTGGGATGAGGATTTGGGTCTCCAAAGGCCAAACTTGATAAATTACAATGCAATTTGCTAAAGTATTCTTTTGCATTTTTAAGAAAGACATTCCCCTTTAACAGAAAGTAATTAGGCCAAGAAAGAGAGTGTTTTAGAATTACAAATAAAGAGCAAAGATACTCTTGGGAAGTGGGGGGAGACAGAAGACAAACACTACCTTACCAGCATTTGGGCAAAACCCCCATTTTTCATCTTGCTCATAGTGAGTTGTTGTGGCACACCAGGCAAATTCCTTTCCATCTCTGGTACACTCATAATACCACTTGTTGTTATATTTGAATGGAAAACTGCATGGGAAACCAAAGGAATTTCCCAGCAAGGTGTATGTTTCTGGAATAAACAAAACACAGGGATTAAAAGAATGCAAACCACAGAAATTTCTTCACCCCCATATTGCATTCTTCCCATTTTTAGCAGCAATGATAGAAATAAATTGTCTAAAGTTATTTTCGAATTTCATTTTATAGCTGATAACACAGTGTTACAAGTATGAGCTGCATGACTTCAGTAAACAGAATTTGGGAATGATAAGCTTATGAAATTTGTCACCATGGATCAAGGCACATTCTCATAACTTAGTACAAGTGAAAAAAAAACCCAAACAACAGCCTACAACAAAACCACAACCACAAAAAAAACCCCAAAGCCAAAACCTGAACAATTAACATATAAAATCCTCACTTACACTTCAGAACAACTACATAAAACAATCCTTAGCAGAATGAGTACATACTCGGATGCAAACTCTACCTCCTTTTTTACTTTTTTTCACTTGTTAGTCTATGATAGACAAGCAACTTAGCATCATTTCCCCTGCTCCTCCCACTCTTTATAAAGTGGATTTTTAATGTTTTTCCCACTCTCTTTGTCATTCTATGGGAAAGGAAATGTGAAAGACAAAGGAATATTAAACAAACCTTTTTTAAGTTTTTAATGCCAAGGGGAATAATACCTAGCTAAAGAACTGATGTTATATACACCTGCTGCCACAATCAATTAAAGCCTTACAAAATATTTTCAGTATTTTCCTATTGTACTTTTGAGTACCAAAACATGGAGACAATTCAGTGCAACTAAAAGTTGCAAAAGCTTTACCTCAGTGTCTCCTTAACCTCAGAGCTTCTGCAAAAGGTCAAAGAACCACAACCACACTTACAATGAAACTGTTTTTCTGTTTGTCAAAAATCCCATGTTGATAGCTTAAAGATCAAAGTCCTTCAACTACAGAATCGGTACATACCACCAGGTTCTTAGAGATTTCCAGAGTTAATGACTGGATGAGCACATATAAAAAAGCAGTTTACACACTGTAAATCCCCTTTAAAGCCTTCTGATATGAACAGGTGCTTCAAAGGACATGGGTATATAAAAAAAATAAATAATAAGTCCTGGCAAGAAACTAAATTTGTCAGCTATAAACCTCTCACCACATTTATATAACATTTTTTTCTTTAAAGATACTCCCCCAGCCTGGTGGTCTAACAGCCTGGCTTGCATTTGCATGTGCATAAACTGAGGTAGGAGGAAGAAAACAGAAACTGGAGTTGAAAGAGATTTTTCCAATTGCAATCAACTACCTTGATTCTGAAACTAGGCTAGAAGCACCCACCTAAGGCTGATCCTCTTCTCCCAGATGTTGCAGTACTAGGGCTAAAGCAGGTCTACATTCATCACCCTGGTTGTACATAGCATATGTGTAAGACTTTTTGTGGGTTTAAATATTTTCTGTCTGGTCTCAACATAAACTTTACCAGGTTTTAAAGAAGAGTCTGGATGCTACAGTGCTTTACCAGGTATCCCAGGTCCCAAAGGAAGGACTGCTGAAAGCAGAGGCCAATCCCAGCTACAGAGGAAACCACTGAGAGCAGATCTGCAACCCAAACACCTAGTTTAAATGGGGAGAATAAACAGCCCCAGTCTGAGACACACCGTGCAAATATTAGGTCTTTCCTTCTACAGAAATGCCAATGAAGGGGTCAAGGAACAGTCTGTTGCTGTTTGTAGTCAATGGGTTTATCTTAGTCCTTATACCTGGAAAACTGGTCAGGTCTGCAGACCTGGATCTTGACACACATTCCTATGCCTTTGCTAGAAGTACAGTGGGAATAATCAAAAGCCTGATCTTTGCTCCAAAGTTCGGCATGTTCAGAGTCCAGGTGCTAAACATTGCAAACATTCATTTCAAGCACACTTGATCACAGACTGATTTTCAGCAATGGGAATTCCAAATCCTTTGTTATCTCTCTTTGGGTTTATCTGATAAAGAAATCTGCAGGACAGGCAATTACAAATCCTTAGTTCCCCTTTTTATTTTATGAGGGATTTGAAATGAGCATTTCCTGGTTTGCAAGGATACTAGTGCTTTTTTTTGGTTCATGGACAAGTGGCAGTATGCTCACTTCAACCATTGCATATAAAATCCCCAAACTTCTAGTCCCAAACCACAATAGAAGCCAGATCACAAGCACCTGACACTGCTTCAAAAGAACTTTTAAAAACTATACCCATCTATATTTCTATCACAAGATTTTACTTTTACCTTGAAATGGGTGTTCACAGAGGTCTTCATCATAGGACATAAACTGTTTCCACTGATACGTAGAATGTTTTTGGGCCACAATATGTTTGCTGCTTTCAATGGCTAATTTGTACTCTGATACACCAACTAATGCTTTTCCATCACAATTCCACCATAACGAGTATTGAGTTGAATCACATTCAAGCATGCTTAACGGCTGTTCTGGCCTACTGATGTTCAGTCCTAGACAGGTACTTCTGCCTATGTTGAAAAGACGGCGATTGGATACCCATTTCCATAACATGTCTTTTGATAGTTGATCACAGTCTTCCAGAACAAGACCAAGGGTGTCCACTTTAATGCATAAGTTGGAATCTTCACTCTGGATAATAAATATCCCTTTATCTGTAGGAAATAAAGAAAATAAAATATGTTTAGTTCTGTAGAACACTGCAATTGATCAAATAGGTTTAAAAGACAAATATTTTAGTTGGAGCTATTTATGAAGAAACCCGAAAATATCCATCAGAATAGCTGTCACTTTACAAAACAATAGTACTGGTCTAACTACACTGCCAGCTGAGATTTTAACACGTGGACCACTTGCAAGATCACAAAAATAAGGCTAGGTAGTATTTCTCAAGTTCAATAGCCATAAAAAAGGGGTGCCCAGAAACATCAGTCCTATACAAAGAAAACAAACCAAGACACTGGTCACCAAGAAACACCCAGCAATGGAGTACAGGTTTATGTGTTACAGGAAGTCATACTGTATATTGTAAAATAATTCTCAGGGAGGGGGATTAGAGAGTGCAATTAAAGTGAAAGGTAAAAGTTTAAGGCTGATATTGCCATATTCTCTGCCATATTCATTCTTTGCCCTCTGCAACTAAAGAGGCAGAAAGAAAATATTTACATTGTAAAGAGTATACAGAATGGGTAGGATTCATCTATACCACAAGAGCTGGTGGCTAAGGGTTAGAGTATGCCTTCCCTACAAAATGCATATTGTTCAACCACACATGACTACCATGGACCACAGCAGATGTTGCGGGGTAAGCCTGACATCCCAGCTTTCTTGGAATCATGTAGAAATTCCCTGAATTATGTGACATCACATTTTAAGTATGTGAAAAAAAGCCAACTGTTTAATGTCTTGGGAGCAAATGCTTAACTGAGCATATAGACTGAAAAAAATAAAAGCTGAGGAACTGGTTATCAGCAAAACATAAACCTGTAACAGCTCATCTATTTTATTCACTCTGAAATCCAATGGTAATTAACCCATGGAGTTCCTCTCACATTATAAGTGAGATATTTATTGTATGCCTCAGGAGATTATGTGCTGAAAAACCTGAGCAATACTTCCATTTTATCTTGAAATTGCACAGCGATGATTTCTGCCACGTGTGCTTTCTAGCTACTGTAATCCACTACATCTAACATTCTGAAGCAGTAACTATAATAAAAAAAATCCAAACCCTCTCAAACTGACACAGCCCACACCTAAAATACGAGATGTAAAGGTCCATCCTGATGCTATCTTGGGTTTAGCACATACAGTTTAGGTGTATCTCTAGAGAAGAAAGATTTCTCTCGAGCAGCAGTGGGACAGTGCTGTAACAGACAGGAGACAGCTCACCAATAAGATGCACACACGACAAGCAGAACAAAGAGGATATAAATTATGAGGAGGTTTTTGCTTACAAATTCTGCACAAAGCACATCAAGAAGTCCGATTTACAAAGAGGACAGTCACACTGCAAATCATAGCACTGGTAGCAAGGGCACTTTCCACATAGCTATAGACACTAGTAGCTTGCAATGGTGTAGAAAGCAGGAATAAGCCTTTCTGACTGACAGCAGGTGAGAACCAGCCTGTTATATATAATTGCAGCTCCTAAGCACTCAATAGCTGTCTGACATTAAGTCCTTAACCCTTTGGGGCTAAGCAAGGTTCCTCTAATCACTGTATCTCTACAGTTCTGAGGTGTCTAAACTCACTGAAAAACCATCAGACAACACTGTGCCAGATACACTTTGCCTGTCTAGCCCTCCACCTTTGAGTTTTCGGTGAAGTTGTGCAGTTTGTGCTGGTTTCATCTTCTTATCCAACCCAATCCTCCATGGGCAATGCAGGTGTCTCTATCTACATGTCCAGAAAGGGTTTCTGTCTCTCATGTCTTTCACACAGCAGTCTTTTCTTGGTTAGCCAAGAAAATACTGTTCATTTGCTAGTTAAGTGGAAGCTGTGATGTTGTTAGCACCAGTAAACATTGATTAATGAGGTTAATTCACCATGATACTGGGATTCACACTTGAATAAACTTCTTATGCAAACTCCCAATCTACCTCTGCCTCAACACCATATACCAACTTCCATGCAGCAGCTTCCTGGGGGTAGAAGGAGCAACACCATCAACCCGAAGATGAAGGATTCTCAACCTTTGAATGCCTTTGTAAGGCTCTTAAGAGTTGCAGGAACTGCTGAGAAAAGATAAGGGTCTTACACACTCTACACAAGTAATTCCACTGGATGATATCTGTGAATAATACATGGTTCCCTTCTGCACCCTAGAGCAACTTATGCCAAGAACGGCCAGACCGTGACATTTGAGCCACACAGCCCCCTTCCAAATGTGGTTTCTGCTCCCCAACTGGAAGATGCAATTAGCAAGAGAGCCATCCTGGCCCAAGGACTGCCAGATAACTGCCAGCTCAAGGGAGAAGTAAGACATGAGAGACGGCAGGTTCAATGGCAGCTCCATGGGCCCCAGCTCAGTCCTCTCAAGTGGGGCAGTGAGACAACTGGAACAGCTCCCAGCCTTCAGAACACCTCCAAAGCTTCCCTTCTTTCAGCTTATGAAGCTACGTCATCCGTTTTACAGGCGCTCTCACTAAAGGGTTTTGTTACAAAGCCACTGGGGCTGGGAGGATCCTGTGCCCAAAGTCTTGCATATAAAGAGCTGTCAATGGCTTTATAAACTTTCAAGCCCCAGAGGACCCAAGGAGAAAAAGACAGCTTATACTTTAGAAATTGAGAGGGTGGAGAAACACTGTCAGTTGGAAACAGCCAGCTTCTCCTACACCCAGGTTCTTCCATAAACCAACAAGGTGACAAGAAACAAACTCGCAGAAGTGAAGCATCAAGCTCACACGAAGCCATAGATGAAGAGCTAATAGCAGACCAGTCCCTCCAAGTTCCTGTTTACTTAGGTTCAACACAGTGAATAAATGGCTGTAGCAAAACTAGGAGACCAAGATATGTTCATTTCCTTCCTCCTCACGTCCCACTTCCTTCCCCCTCAAAAGGCAGTGAGGACTGCTTATGTGGCAATTGAGAAAATAACTGGAATTTATTGGAAAGGGTAAAAAAAGGTCACCTCTATTGCCTCTAAGTGCAAAGAAACCAACGGGCAGTGGAATAGCGAGGGCTTCCAGGCCCTTTCACCTCAGGACGGACTGACACCTTCACCCTACCCAACCCCTCTTAGCCGGGGTCGGGCGGACCCCAGCAGGAGTTTCCCCCCGCCCTGACGCCTCCTGGCCGCCCACTGCACCAAAGCCCGCAGGCTTCCCCACAGCTGCAAGCGCGGAAACGAGGGACGGGGCTGAGAGGCGTCCGGCAAGCGAACGGCTCAGCCCGGGGCCGCTGCACGACCAATGCCGCCCCCCGACCCGCCGCACCGCCCCCCTTCCCCGGGCCGGCGCCGGAGCCGTCACTCACTCCGAAGGGGGGGCACCTCGTCCCGGCGGAGGGCAGCGGAGCCCCGCGCCGTGCCGCCGAGCAGCAGGCAGCACGCCAGGAGCTGCAGCCGCACGCCCCACATCGCCGCGGCACTGCGCCCACCCGCTCCCGCTCCGCTCCACCGCACCGGCCCTGCCGAGCCCTGCCCCGGGGAGGGCAGAGGAGCGATCCCACCCTGCGGCGCCCCGCGGCGCGGAGGAGGGGCTGCCCGGCCCGGGCCTGGGGTAGGCCCGCGGGCTTCCCTCGTGCTGCTGCGGGAGGGGCTGCGGGGGGTGAGGTCGCTGCAGTCGCGCCGGTGCCGCGTGTCCCGCGTCCCGCGTGTCCCGCGTCCTTTTTCCCCGGGAAGAGGGAACGCCGCCGGAGACGGGCCGGCCGGAGGGGGAAGCGCCGCTCATGCAGCTCGGGCCGCTTGCCCAAATCAGGGTTGTGGATTCATGCAGACAAAAAGCTCTGTATTAATCTTATTTTCCATCCGAAAACACTTTATCATGTCTATGCTCCAGGTACTTTTATCCTAAAAAGGAACCGAGAAATACCCAGAGACACTGGAGGTGGGAGATCATCAATAGCACAGGCCATGTTTGCAGGTTTTCTGCGCTGTCCCTGAGCAGCCTCACTTCTAAACACCCCACTTGGGTGACTTGGGTTTTTAGCTGGGTCAGCTTGTCAGCTCGAAATCACTACATTTTGGAATGGGGAAAAATGACTGCCTTCTTCCATTTTGTTAGGCTCTTCAATAGAATATTCGAGGGAGCTGCCCCACTTGGGTTGAGTTTGAGTCTTTCGGAAGCTATGGATAGCAGAGGGAAACTTGAAAGCAGAACTTTTAAAGATAGAGCAGTTTTACTGGAATCAGCAGGCCAGTTTGGTTTTAATCTGCATAAGCATGTTTCTGCATGGTTCTTTGTAGCAGGCAAGTATACAAATGTATTCATAAATGTACAAAAATAAACGTACAGTGTTGGAGCATAATTGAACTGAGCCTCTGTTCCCCCATGTCCATCTCAATCATAACACAAGGATGGAAACAGAAACCTCTGGGCTTAGGCAGAGTTTCTCACTGGTAGTTTAGTAGAAGGAATTGAGAAGCAAGTGAAGCCAAACACTTGGAAAGAAGCAGGTAAGTAGGAGGGTTTCTCCAAACAGGTTAACAGACGATAAAAATGTCTGGCAGAGAACAAACAGCAGGAAACTGCTGAACAAGCTGTTCGAGCAGTGACCTGGCTCTGCAAGACAGAAGGGTTGTAACTCCACAGGAACTGCAGTGTTCCTCTCAGGAAAGCTGCAGCTTTCGGAGAATTTCCGATTCTGAGAGAGAAGCTTGTAAATGGCCATTTATGAAGATCTGGCCACTCAGAACTGTCTACAGCTCTTCAAGAGTATTTGGCCACTGCTTTGAGTCGTGAGCTTCAGCAAAGAGCTCTGCTGCTCCAGAGCCCCCTCTTGGGTCACGCTGAGATCACGCTGTGTTTGTGATCCCGTATTTGAAAGTGAAGGTGCCAGTGAGCTGCTCCTGACCTCCGATGGGTTTTTCTGCTTAACTCAGTAAGATCAAAGTAAGCACATTCTGATTCCCAATAATGAACATATCAACAATGTTTTTTTAAATATTTTACCAAATGCAAAGGAGCATTTATTAATTCTGAGTGGTTTTTCTTAGCTATTCAGATGAATCTCTTTGACTAAACAGGTTTTTACTGTCTAGAATCTGTCCTAGTCTTTCTAAACCGGTAAATCCTTTCTAGCTGCATTTATACCGGCCTGGGTATTTATAGCTAAGCTATCCCTACTTAATTACCATAGTAAGACATCTTTGCTGGCATAGTGACTTGTAAAACCAACACGGTTGACAACATTTTCTGAAGAAAACTTGATGACATAGTTTATATTATTTTACACATCAAACTGTGTAACTTTCCAATTGTATTTGTTTGTTTGTTTTACCTGCTTTTCTTCAAAGCACTTGCTGTAGTGATTTGGCTCCTTTATTTCATTTTCTGTCTGGAACCCACTTTTTGTAAATACTTTTCTCTTAATTTCTCTGTTGATGATCCATTCTTTCTTTTTGTGTATACTTGGGCCCATATATATATATGTGCACTTGTCTGAGCTGATCTGTCGTTCTATTTAGGTACTCTACACAGCCATTCAACACTCTCCTGTCTGCTTAGACAGTAACTCAGCAGAAGTGGGGCTTGAGCATAGCCTTAAGCTCTGTTATTTACTAAAAGACCAAGAACTACAATTTAGGAAGGATAGACAACCTCTTAACATCAACCTCGTTGGGAAAACCAAAAGGAAACAAAACCCCCAAAACCAACAAACTTGTCTGGATGTAAGGATATATGCTTGCACAAATTCTAAGGCATAATGTGTACCTGGTGCTGATATGACTTTACAAGTTGGGAGTAGGTGTGCCTTTGCACGTTGTGCACTCCCCCTCAGAAGAGCTGATCTGTTTTTTTAGCTGTGTGTTTACATTTAGAAACCCTGCAGGTAATGGAAACATTTACTGTGCTCATTAGAGAATATACAGAGAAACCCAAAGCAATTTTACTTTCCTTTAACAGTTTCTTCTCGGAATAATTTTTGCATTAGGTACATTTTATTGACTACAAAGTAAGGTTTAGACATTTATTTGTTATCTTTCTGTTTTGTGGTAAATCAGATACACAGTCAGTCTCATATCTGAGGATTTAAGAGCTGGGATTTAAGAAAGTTTGGAAGCCAGAGCTCCCATTGCCTTCATGGTGGTAGAATGTGTCTTTGTTACTTATATAATTATATTTTTATACTATGTCCACACTTGCACATATGGGTAGGCAGCAGGGAACCACTTGTTAAAATTTCTACTCTCTTCTCTGAATTTTATGCTGGTAAGACAATAGAAAAAGCAAAAACATTTTCTAACCAGTGGGAATGACTTGCCACCAATGCTATTAAACCATTCAGGCCAGGTATCTTGGCCTTTGGTATAGAGAAAACCAATAAAATTCCCAGGTTTTGTTGTTTTATTTTTCTTTTTCCCTTTTTTAATCTGTTCTTCATATAATAAATAACCTAAAATAGAAGCAACTGGGAGTTTATTATGCGGTAATTATACCATATAGGTCTGGTTTTTCATGTCAGCTGAGAATTCTAGAGAAAGCAAGTTTTAACCTCTCACTTAAGAAGATGGACAGGAGGTACAATCTGACTTTGAACTAGAGTTGTTAACATTGTAGCCTGAAGTTGGTGGTAAACACTTTTCCAAACACAGGTAACATTCAACTGCTAAACAGCAAATAGAAATTTCCTGTTCCTTCATGCAAAAAGACCTTGGGTTTATTTACACTCCTACCTATTCTAAATGTGGAAACAGTAATGAAAAAAATTACTGTTGAGAAAAGTTCCCTGTGGAGAAATGGCTTTTTAAAAAGATACATCATACCTCGAGAACTTCATCCACCTGAATACAGAAATGTCTTAAAACTGTTTTAAATTGTCTATTTTGATCAAAAATTAAAAAAAAAGTAAAAAACACGATTTAAAATATTTAAAATTTAAAAAAACTAAGACTGAATTTTTAAAAATAAATAGTTTTATACTAAAACTGTAGCATAAATAGGACAAAGAAGGGACAGCTTGCAATGAAAATCAGGTTTTGGTTCTTTCTTGCATTGGCATAGTTATTGGCAGAAGAGAGAGGCTGAGCTATCTTCAAGAAACAAAATTGTCATCTACCAAGGCCTTTGAAAAGCCAAAGCCTTTACAGTTATGTACAATACCTGTCATTATTGTGCTTTTTTATCTCTCTGTCAATATTAGCTGATACATGTGTATGTCAGTGAAAACACAGAAGTTTCTAAGCATGAACCATTCCTGAAACCAAACAAAAACCACCAAAAAAGTACAGACTTTTCAGGCTAGCATACATTCTAAATTACTTGCCATGAGTATACATTATGCAATTGTTTCAGTTTTTACAATCCACTGTGAAATGCAAGAGAATGATTTTACTGTTTGCCTGGAGAATACAATGAAGTTTAAGTACAGTTCTGTCAGGAGTGCAGAGGAATGTTCTCTTTATCAGAGGAAATTAGCAGACATCAAAATACATGACTTTTCATTAGAGGAAAAAAAAAAAGGAATTGAAGAGATTAAAGAGAAAATATGCATTTTGCTGTGTAGTTCCAAAAATATATTACGGCTGTTAAACTTGAGGAATGGATGGATATTTAGCTTTAAGCAAGTTACACAATTTAGGGATCACTCTATAAAAGAATGCCATATGTAATCAATCAGAATTCCAGAAATAGGTTGCTTACAGCATTCATTCATTAACTCATTTCCTTAAAAAGTAAAAAGATCAAAAATAGAAGAAAATCCAGATGTGAAATCTCATGTGCTGTCTTAAAAAAGCAGGGGGAGGAGTTATAAGGTCTAAGGTATGCCAAAGCACGATATATTTGCTAAGAGGCATCAAATCTTGTGAAAACAATGATAAAGACACATGCCAAAACGAAAAATGAAGAAAGAACAATAAAATACATTTAAAAAGGCATTTGACTTTACAATCTTTATTCAAGGTTAGATAGCTCCTTTTTTACAGAAAAAAAGCTGGAGCATTTACCTGTTTCTTTCAGATAGACTACGATAAAAATTGTCTCTTTTTTTACTTTTAGATTGTGTGTGATAAGTTTTATGGGGCAATAACTCCCTTGTGCCTATTGCAAACCAAACTTGAACTCCTTTATAAAGGCAGACAAGACATGGAGGGTATTGCACTTGACATCCAAGTCGTGTATCCCAGGCTCCATGCCCGCTAATTATATTACAAAACAAAGTTAAATGCAATCTGGACACATACAATACAGGTTAATATGCGACTTTTATAAATTAAATGAAAAATGATCCATTTGACATGTATTACTGAAATTACCATTCTACAGGGTGTAAAAGATACACAAATACCATGAAATTGCTTATGATTATTTTATTCAGTTTAACTCTTCAGTGAATAAAAGTATTACTATTAAAAAATGTTTTGGCCACTCTCAAGGTCCAGCCTCAGGACAAAACAATGTTCATGAAATCAGCAGACTCACTCACCACACACAAACCCGTTCATCGTTTGGTGGAGGGAAAAAATAAAGAAGGTGAACTTTGGTACAAATGCTACAAGATAAAAGCAATATAGTCAATAAAAATAAGATGAACACCACTCTTGTTTTTAGGGTGAATGCCAAGTAGGGTCTTGAAAGTTCTTGAGATCTGAGGGTTTAGTAAAATTTTATTATCTAAATTATTGCTGTTAAAAGGATGGCTCATATACATGAGCCTACTTCTTTAATATCCCTCAATAACAGAGACCTTCCTCACCAAGCCCTTCTCTCTTCTGATGAATTCTTTGAAGGTGCACTGACCATTCATTGTACAGGCAGTCACAGCAGTGAAATCTCAAAACATACTGCCTGATTTCTGTACATTTTTGATATTTTGCTAGAAGGAGTAATTGAACTGTAAACATTGTCTGCATACCAAGTTGGAACTTTGCTCATGATGAGAAGGTGCAATTGATGGGAAGAGAGTGGGTAGCTTTGTGAAATGAAACCTCTTCTAGGATCAGGGAATGTAGACCAGCAAGTGTTTGATATGAAATGCGGGCACCAGTTTGTTAATAATGTTTGAATACTGAAATGCATTTCAATATTGAAATGAGTGACCTACAGAAGAAGGACTTTCAACCCTAATATTGAGTAGCAGAATCAGCCTTCTCAGAAACAGAACTTAAAAGGTATTTAATAAACAGTATAGCTTTTTGTTACTTTAAAAGTAATAAAAATATTGTAATTTCTTTCAGAGAAGGTTTGTTATTTGTTAACTTCTACTTGAAAAACAAAAGAGTAACAGATTACATGAACTAAATCCAGATTTCCCTAGTCCCTTAGGCAATGGTGACCCAATTGGAATCCAAGACAAAATTCAGGGTCCACTTTTGCCTCCTGTCAGTTTATCCATGTGCCAGGAAAACAGGATTTGGTCCCACATGTAACTTGCGCTGACATCTGTGGGAGTTTAGTGGTTGCAAGGGCTGCAGATGCAAGCCTTTGTCCATGCACAGTTTCCACTATGAGATACGTAGAAATACTGAAGGGTACAGATGTGAACCTGTAACTAATCTGTTCCAGTTTAATGACAGCCATCATTTCCTTCACACTGCAATAATTTTGTATTTAATATGTGGTTATAGTATCACCTTCTTTCCAAAGGCATCTGATACTGTTTATCTTTGCACAGAAATATATACTATCGGTTCTAATCCACTAATAGACAGTATTAACCAGTTTGTTTAAACAAAAAAATCTTTGTAAACCAAAATTAATAGTTTCACTGAAACTAGATCCTCATCTGTAGCCATTGACTCAGTAGGCTTTGGATCAGGCCCTAAAACAGGCGTGGGTGAGAGCTAGCTAATATATCAGTCTCACATCCAGGAACTGTAGAGGATATAGAGACTGAAGTTGCACAGACTTTGTAAATATTTATTACAAAATGGACATCAAGTTTTTTAGTTCAAATATATGATTTACTATAGGGAATGTACATAAGTTTGTGACTGTGTCAATGTACCTTTGATGTCTAAGAAGTCTTCTTTTGTAAGTACATTCATATGTACATTTTGACTGTCTGTTCCAGAGTACTAAAAATGCAGATGAAAAGTGGTATTAAAAAGTAAAGTACATATTGTTAGTTTAAAATAGCCCAATAATGTAATTTTTCATGCCAGCATGTTTGCTGATTTTGTTGTTGTTTTTTTTTTTCCCCCCTGGTTCTATGCATGATAACAGCATTACAATTTAAGAATTTATGGCAAGTCAGGAGTAACTAGCTACAACTGAGATTTAAAAAGCTCATTATTGTCTTGGAAATGAATATGAAGTGGCATCCATAGATCTGTTTGTTACTCAGTTTGGAAAAAAAACAGAAAATGGCCCAAAAAAAGCTGAATACATTATTTCACACATGAATAAATGGTTTGAGTGCTGGGCATTGAAAGAACCTCACAATTTTGGTTATATCAACAAAAGATTACTGTCTTTGTGTGTGATACTGAGTCTTTGTGTGTGATCTTTTCCCGCATCTAAAGGGCTTCTGCAACTGTTCATGTAATGGTCCAGCATGCAAGGTTTATTTTGAGTGCCTAAAGGGTGAAATGGAGTTCTGATAATCCTCTGGTTTAAAGTTTCTTTACCAGGGTCTCTAATCTACAATTGTTTCTCTTTTGCTCTGGATCCTCTCTACTGGAATTTAAAGGAAAGAAAGAAAGAAAAAAAAATTAAAAAGAAAAAGCAGTTTATGTCTGGAACAGGAAACAACTCTGCAAGTGAATGAGGGCTTGATTTAACTTTCCCTGAGAAAACCGCAGGGACTGGCTTCTTAAAGAACATCAAACAGCAACAAGGACAAGGAAAGAGGGAAACACAGCAAGAAAGAAGAATTAGAGAGATGTTTCTGTATACCTTAGGTGCACAGAAGATGGGTAATAATACTACTTGTTTCTGATGAAAGACTACTGGGTCACACAAGTGCTATGAGGAACCTCTAACCTCAGTAGTTTAAGCTGCATTCCTGAAAAAATTATCTTCTAAAATTTAATCCAGCCCACCAAATAGACTGGTACAAATACATTCCTTAATACAAATATATGGGATTGGAATTCAGTATACAGCTCATTGTATATACCTAATTTCACAAAATAGGCTATACAATATACATATTATGATTTTAAATCCTCGCTATTAATGAAAAAAATAAAAATATTTGTGATGCTATTTTGGTTTTTTTAAGATTGAGGGCTTTAATATTAAAGTTGGTGTGGTTTTTTTAATATTTCTAACTTTTACCATTCATATGTTATCTATAGTTTTGCCAACACAAGACAGATTTTCTCTGACAAAATGGTTATACCACTGTAATGTGTAAACAAACATCACCTAATCAGCTGAGAAGAAACAAGTGGTTTTAGATTTCCTTCCAGTAAAACTAAGTTTGTAGTGTTGGAGGTGCTAACAGGAATCTGCAGCCATGGCCCCTTTTTGCTTTTCTTGATTCTTGTAAGTTACGTTCTTAAAAGTGGTTGTTGAGCCTCTGTACAGTGGATTTGTTTCCTAAAAAAAAAAAAAGAAGCAAACACAAACAGAAGAAAGGGAGTCAGGCAATGTTTAACTCATTTTGTCATAGCTTCAGCTGCAAGCAAAAGTAGCTGCATACCGTTGCCTTGAGTGTCACTCTGCAGTAAAGGGATCATTTTGGTCCATGATTCCTGACCCAGCGTTACAGTGCAGTTTGTACATGCACCAGATAGTATCACTCTGCTTCCCGATGTGCAGAAGATGATTTGTATGCTACTTTGTGAGAAACTCCGGCCAGAGACCTGCCTGGCCCAGCAATGTACTTCCAACAGCGGGCAAATCAGGCTGCCAAGGAAAAGCTGACACACATTTCACAAATCTCCAGGGTCAGAGGGGCTGTCTTCCCCTTATGGATTTGTCTGTAGACATTTTGAATCCATGCAAACTTTTATCATCCAGAATATCTTTGGAAGCAAATGGTATGCCCTAAGCACGTATTGTGTAATAATGCCTTTTGACGTCTTTGGAGCTTGGTATCTCACTAATATGAGAAAGCCAGCATACCACTTGTCCTTCTGACACCCACCAAAAATGCTTACTCAACATACTTTTTTCCAAAGAACCTCAGAAGTCTTAAAGATTTTGCAAAGAACAAAAAAGCCAACGGCAGAAAGGAAAGAAGAAAAGGGAACATGTGGTAAAAGCTTGCATTAAGCACCCACAAGCTATAGATAGGAAATATGGCCTGAATTTTTTTGTTCTTTTACCTGCATTTTGGACAGCCTACATTCATTGCTGCTCTGTGTAAGTCAGCTTACATTATTACACAGGGGTCACCAGTAATGTCTCTTTCCTAAAATGGGCTCTGTTTCTAGGAAGAGGGGTACACCTCTGATAATCACATAGGCAGTGAATAACTTTGCTAAGATTACTCAAAGTTAAGGTACTAATTAAAAAAAGAACTAATAGAAAATGTTATCTACATGCTTTGACATGTGGAAGGAATTAAACCAGGTGATCAAATTCTAGCTATTTTTCATACCTAAAAAAATCCTAATTGCACTTTATGGAATACTGTATGCAGTGAAAAGCTACAAGTAAAATCTATCAATGTAAAAGAACAAAACCAAGACAGATGATTTTAAAGGCTGTTGTGCACCATGCAACTAAATTAAAGAATCTTGTATAAAATTCATTCATAACATACTGTTTGCCATTTAACGTTTGATTTTTCCACTTCAAACTTGGCCACCTCTTTTCGGTCCTGAACTGACACCAGTAGTTTCCATGTACAAAGTAAAACAATGCCAATGAGAAGGATAGCAAGGATGACACCCACCATTATCACTGGAATATTTGGAAGCTGTGGGCAATCTGTGGAAACAAAAACAATTATGACTGTGGATATCTAATCAATAAATTCTAGGCAATCAAAAACAGCCAAGAGGCATGCTGGGCTTTTCATTTACTGAGAACTGTGCATGCCTTTTACTTCAAGTCCATGTTGTTTTTCTCCTGTTAGCTGCTAAACTGGCTAAGTGTGAAACTGGCTGAAAAATACTGCATTAAAATGTTACAAAAATTAATTGCTAACTTCTTCCCCTGGTAGTTTACTGTGTCAGTTAACAGCTGCTGGATAGAGCTTTTCTGGAGGCCTTATCTCAGTTCACGTTTGCACACATTGCAGCCACCACAGCGCAGTAGCTTCAAGGCCCAGGAGCTGAACAGCATATGACTACACAGCTGGTTATTGTAGAGTGATGGGAGGGCCACTACACAGGGTTTAATGAGCTGGGTCTCCCTTAAGATATTTATTTCACTTTTTCTTTTATTCAGATCTACATAAAATGCATAGTAAATGTATTTAATAAAGAGAAAAATCTTACTCTTAAATTCTTGACTCTTAGGGGTGTAGTTTACAAAGGGATGTGCTTCTTTAGTACTAGCTTTGTTATAACTGTCTTTGGTTTTGTGTAGGTTACAGTTCCAGCAGAACACTCTTATGGTGGAAGCTGCTTTTATCTGTGCAGTGAGATCACTTTTATTCTAACATGTATGCTAGACAAAGGCTTCAGAAAGGGTTAAAAAATCAGTGCCATTTGTGCTAACAGAACAAGGCTACAAATCTGCTTTCTCTAAAACTAAAAAACATTTAACCCTGAGACACTGGGTGTGTCAAAACAAGCAAACAAACAGAAGTATTTTTATTGCCTGGAAACTAAAGTGTTTGGCAGATGAAAAGCAGTGTCTGTGTTCTTTTCTGTCCTACATAATTAGAAGCTTTAATGAAACATCAGTAGTGAAGTAGCAGCAAATAAAGTAGCAATAAAATGAAAGGATATAAAGAGATCTGTTGAATATCAGTTATGTAAAATATTCAAAACTTAATGGTACTGGAACAATAAAGGTAATTATAAATGTGTTCATCAGGTATACCCACTTAGATTGTCTTGGATATTTGTCCATTTTCGAAATATATGTAATTTCAAAGTGACTTATAGTTTTCTCATATAATGCAAAAGACATTTGGTATTATCATCTTTGATTTACACAAGGATTTAGAAAAAATAACTTACTCTTGCAGCCCAGGGATCATTCTGACAATCTTTCATTAAAGGCCAAGTATTTATTTTACTAGTGCATGAAACAAGTACTTGAGGAGGTGGTCTTCTAGCTGGGCAGAAGTGAGCTATAAACACAAGGAAGTTCAGTGCTGCTTAAAAATGCTCAGCTTCTAGATAGCTCACCTTGCCTGCATTTTAAATTCGATTTATGTAGAAAAAGCAATATTCACCGCTTACCTTTCTGTTCTATGCTATGAATGATTGTCCTTCCCTGTTCATCCACAGCCAGTAGAAATGTGGTTATACATTCATTTTCCCCCTGCAAAGAGCAGGGAATGGATTTATCCTCTGAATAATCTGCAGAGGGAAGGAGAGAAAGTCATTGTTCAAATCAGATGAAATTTAACATGTAATAACAAAAGAGACTGCTGGCATTGTGTTTGTCACAGCCTCATCTGTGGATGGTAAAGAGTGAAGGATGAAAGCAGAAATAACCTCAGAATTTCTACAAAATTTAACAACCTTTCTTTTAACCCAAGCTTTGTTTTGTTTCCAGTTTTCCACTTCTATCTTCAAAGAGCAGATTCAGGTGTTGTCAATCTGCACTGACCACATAGTGTACTGTGAATTTCAATGAATTGGAAGTGCTTCCAAGATGCTTTACCACCAGCTGTATAGGAAATGTAATAGTCCCCAGTTACAGGACAAAGTAAACAGTATGTTCTCTTTGGTTTACAGCTACTCTTACCATGTCTAGATTATGTTTCAGAAGTAGACATACATACAGCAATGGATAATGTTAAAAGGGCTGCATTTATTTCTTCCACAGTAGCCCTCCCAAAGATTAGCGTGTCCAGCACTGTCACAATGGTAAATATAGATTAATAACAGAAACTGTGATTCTAGGATCTTTGTAATGTGATTCTGAGGGAAGCAGATAAAAAGTGATCTGAGATGACACTCTGGCCCCATTTATTTGTCTCTCAATTTCATGCAGATCTGCACAAAAAAAAAATCTATATATTTTATTTTTTTTTTCCATATAATTTCTAACCAGGAAGCCTTTTCTGCTGAGAAAACTTCATCCACAGGGAACAGAGAGGCAGGAGGAAGCTGGCTCTAAGAGACAATGTAAGGCAAATGATTGAAAATCGAGACTGCAGGTCCAGAGCCAGAAATACCGTAATTTGAAGCCTAACAATTACATAGTATTTTTATAGAGCAAAACATCTGACCTCACAATACCTTTGGGGCTGAAGACTTACTATATTTCCGTATAACCCACTATTTTTACAGCACTGGAAATCTAGGTATGCTTTTCAATACATTTTTTAGAAAATCTTCTTAGGTGTTGTTTTTAGAGGTAAGAAAAAAAACAGTAAATTTCTCAAGCATTTCCTTAAAAATAGTTGTCACTTTCCATTATTTCTTAGCCATTTAAAACTCTTTCTAAACTTTCATAAGCAACTGTGCTGAAAATCTTAAGTTCTCAAAATTAGTAATGAAATACAAAGCAGGAATCAGACAGGATATGGATTTTTAAAAGTGCTTAAAAAAGTGCTTTTAAAAAAGTGCTCACTTTTCTTTCTGGTGTTTTTGTCTATATTGCTTATTGTCAGAAAGTCTGGTCTTACAGACAGCACTGCTGAACACCATACAAAATATGAAAGTATAAATAGGGGACTGCCCTAGAGACCTTTTCTCTGCTTGTTATAAAAAGATAATCACATCTGGGTAGATTTTAATGGAAACATGCTAATGATTTGTGATACTCTTGTACTTAACCTGTTGCCTGTCCTGAGTGGCAGAGCAATGTGTTGTCTATCAAGGTGACAGACAGACAAGACTTGCTGATTTAACAAGATTTGGTTTTGTTAGAAGAGCCACAAACTGCAGACTGAGTGTGCTGATTTAATAGCACTCATTACTAGTCACAACTCCAGTAATGCTGTCACAAGTTTTGCAATATTGGTTGTTTCCCAATTCTTTCAAGCAAGAACATCCAGAGAATATTAGCTTGCTCAAAAAAAAAAAAAAAAGGAAAAGGATAGTTGTTAGCTGTCCTGAAGGCAGAGACAAACTTGCAGGCATATTCCAAATATCATCCAAAAGGCAGTAACTGCAAATATATTAGTTATATCTAAATTGTAACTTTTAATTTCAGACCAAGGGGAGAAGAAATCTGATCGTGTGCAAGGATGAAGAAATTAAAGCAAAGATGCCAGTTCAAGCCATTCAAAATGCTGCTTACGCTTAGTATTTTCATTTCTCTGATGTTATTTTTAGGATGAAGGATCACTAAGAGAGACTATTGCATACATGATTTTCAGTTCATCAGCACTAAAATTTGCCTAGGTAGGTAAACTGCTGTAATTTGCACCTGTGTAATTTTCTGCATTCTGCAGTAAACCATCATACTTCTCCCACTTCTGCCTGCAACCTAATTCCATTAATTTCAGTGGTATTTAAAATCACTGGAAGAATAATTGTGTAAGAGTGGTAAGCTGGAGCTCCAAGGTGCTATTTCTTAGCAGATACTTAGATAAAAGATTCAACAACAACCAAAAATTGACTGCAAATTTAAATGTCATTATACCCTTTCTTATTTGTCCTTTGCTCAACAAAATGCTGTTTTTGAACAGCTTCATGTCACTTTGAGTCAGAACAACAGAGCAGTGCTGACACAGGGATTTATTCAGGCTCTAGCATCCAGTTTGTTGCTGTACTGGGAATTTTTGTGGTGTCAACACTCTAGGGTAGGAAAAACTCAGTTTCTCTGAGGAAAGTGTAAGAGTCCATACTGGGCTTGTGGCAGAAGCAGCCTGGTGCCCTGTGGCTGGGGTGGTGGCAGGAGCCACTTTAGTAATCGGTTCTTCCTGGGTAGCAAGTAGAGCAACAGGGGCTCCTCTTACACCCATCTGGCAAAGGAGGATTATCCCTATTTAATATTCAAATCTTAAAAATGGCTGAAAATAAAGACTCAAAAGTGATGCCTGCTGTGGAGATAAGCCCAGTAAATGTGAACCCATCAGCACCTCTGGAGTTGCTGTACCATCCTGTGTCCTACTGGATCCCCAGGCAGGCTCAGAGGCTAAAACATGCATTCCCATGAAAAAGGAAAATGCAAAGCCTACGCTTTTTTTATTGCTCCACATTTCCAGTCATTGGGTTGCGACATACGCATGCAAAAGAGAAAGCAAATCTTTAAAGTGCTAATATTTTATTTAACCTTGAGCTATTTCTAGTTTTCAAAAAGCCTTGAAGCATTAAAGAAACTGAAATATAAACCAGAAAGCAGCAGTATGCTACTGGATGAAGCTGCTCAATAATCTGTCTGAAATATGTGGTGGGCTAGTTATACCACTTTCAAAATCCTTTTTTTTTTTGTTTAGGTAAAACAATTTTGATTTCGGGATAAGTGCTTTACTATTATTCTGAAAACTAATTTTTTTACCTTTCGGGACTTCTTAATGAGGCAACCTTTCTGCCAAATCCTCTGAGCTATTACACAAGCATTTAAGATGAAACAGAGTTTGCAACAGCCTCTTCATTTGTTTTGGGGGGGGTTTTGAGGGGTTAGGATGGGAACAGTTACCCAGCCCTCACTACAGCAGTTGCTGTAACTGCTGCAAATAAATCTTAAATCTAAAGTGGTAACTAACAGTCCCAATCAGCGAAGCACAGGACTTGCGAAAAAGGAAATAAGCAGGAACAGGAGATGGTGTTGTCATGCTCATATTCCTGTGACCTCTGTGTATGTGAACAGAGCCACGTAAGCAACTGTTTCTGCTCTTGATTATTATTCATTATATTTGAAAGTAGAATATATTATATATTCCTAGCCACAAATATATGCCATCTGGCAACAACAACCCGAAAACTTTACTAAATAGTGCTTATATGCTTTTGAAGCTTGCAAGGACAATTTTATGTTTATAAACAAATATTGATGTCTAGGAAGGCAAAGCATGATAATAATTTTAATAAAACCACAACATTACAATTAGTTTTCATTAAGGCAACATTTGCAACTTTTGAGCTCTGCATTATGGAGTAATGACATCAAAACCAAAAGGCAGATCTTTGTTGAACATCAGTGAAATTTATGCATGCATGCATGCATACATGCAGCTCTGAATGGGCTTCCAACAGTTTGTAGGCACAAACCTTAGATGTGCATACAGCATTCTGCATTGTCATCCTAGTTCTTACATATGTCTTACTTAATGCTTATCCACATCTGTGATGTGGATAGATTGTAGCTATGTCCTGCTTCACCTAACAATTGCATTTTACCATGCGATAGAGACCAGAATTGCCATTAGAATAAGTACAGACTGCCTACTGAACAGGCAAGTCCCTTCCGCTACAGTAAAGAAAAAGATGCACTATTTCAGTTAAAGTTTGGTGGGGTTTTGGTTGTGGTTTTTTTCTTTTACTTTTTTTTTCTTTTCCTGAGAGCAATATTTTATTCAAGGTTAATTCTTACTCCACAAATTCCAATTGATGGAAGGCAGTTTTGAATTAAAGCAAACAACTGAAAGATGTGCTTAGTCTCTGGAATACTAGAAAAGTCTTTGCCACAGGTTAAAGGGCTGTGTCTAGTTGCCAGCTGTAATTAAGAGTCTGCATAAGGACTGGAGCCAGGTTTTGCATTCGTATGATAAAAAAAGCCACACTGGAGCTCCTGGTACAGGCATGATATAAACTGAGGGGCCTTCATTAGCCACTGATTTATTAAATCCTATGCTTTTTACATAAACTGCTTAGAAAGCAGGCATGATCCAATGAGTTAACCGGGAAGGATAATACCAGCCGTGGTCTGTATTTCCTACTTACCACAGAACTGTAGAAAAGCAGCAATTGCCTCATAAGCCTTAATACAATTCCATGGCAGAACAACGAGGCTACTTTCTGCTACTGAAAGTGGAAACTATCACTAATCACACACACACAGAAAAGGAAGACTGAGTGTACAAACCCTTTGTGGTGCTGACAGTTGCATCAACCAATTTGCATTTTTCACTGCATTCTCCCGGTGACTTGTCATCGGAAGCCAAGTGACATTCCACACAACTCCTGTATAAAATAATTCAGTAGCTCATCAATCTCTGCCTGTCACAAAGCAACAATACAAAAGCCTGAGCGTATGCATCTGCATTTTAAAAGGAAGCTAAACAAAAGGTCTTGTACTATGGATACTGTAGTTCTCAGAAATATGATAGGTATTGCCACCAACACCCCCCCCCCCCCCCCCAAATAAAGGTATTGTGGATAAGCTCTTTCTTGTCCTCTTTTCTCTCCCAGCTAATTAGCTACCAGACAGAACCCCAGGCAACATTATTCATGTCGGTCTATCAAAGACATGGAGTTACTCACACATAACATTCATTTTCAAAAAGAAATATTCTGAACTACGCTTACGCTAAATACCAGCCAAAGGAATGTCTATTGGATGAACAATATCTGAAATAGACTTCAGAGAGATCAAGCTGGGGCACCTACTATAATTCTTCCTTTGCTGAAACTCTGTTGAATAATGTATTAAAACACTATTCAGGTATCTCAGCAGATGTCTCTTGAATGCAATTATTTGTCTCAGGAATTATTTACTTAGATCCTAATTATAATAATGCAATTTACTGTAAAATTGTTTACTTTATTTAATGGTGAAATGACTGCAATAGTCTTTCAAAACACAGAATCTAAACCAATTCCTTTAGAAATCATTGAAAATCTTCCCAGAAATTCAGTGAGGATTTTAATAAATCCAGAGTTTATTCATGGAAAAAGAAAACAGTGAAATATTCATATATGAAAATTTCTGATGCAAAATGTATCTTGCTGATTCTTTACAAACAACTTCAGCTCAACTGATGGGCTGAGACTCTGAGAAGCAGCCTGAAGGACTGATTGCGAAAAGAAAAAAGAGAAAAGAGAAGAAAAGAGAAGAAAAGAGAAGAAAAGAGAAGAAAAGAGAAGAAAAGAGAAGAAAAGAGAAGAAAAGAGAAGAAAAGAGAAGAAAAGAGAAGAAAAGAAAAGAAAAGAAAAGAAAAGAAAAGAAAAGAAAAGAAAAGAAAAGAAAAGAAAAGAAAAGAAAAGAAAAGAAAAGAAAAGAAAAGAAAAGAAAAGAAAGAAAAGAAAAGAAAAGAAAGAAAAGGAGGAACTGCAACAAAACATCCCCAAAACCCTTGGCCATCTCCTGTTGCACTGAGTTACATATATCCATGGGAATATGCTGAGACTGCAGAGATTATCTTCACAAGATGCAGATGACCTTACCACTCACTCTGGAGATGGCCAAATAGTAAAAGCGAGCAGGTAATGAGATAGCCTCTATCTCATGGAGAAAAATTCAGTGTTGTTGGTGTTTTTGTCATATTTGCCATGTTTCTCATACAACCACTCTTTTCCTCAGCTGCCTAGCCATTGATCTCCATCCCCTCTGACCTGGTCTTTCAGCTTTCTCAGTTACCCTACTCAGGTATTCCCAATGTTTTCTCTCTTTTGACTTTCCTTGCCTTGTATTTCAGCAAGGAAAAACACTGAAACAGAGAGAAAAGATCTAACACTGCATACAATATACATGTTTAAATAGGCTAATGTAATGCCCATTGTGTAACTTTATATTTCTTATTCTCTGCCAAATTGGGCAGAAGAAAGCAGCAGCATTATCCCTCATGTTTAGAGTAGTTGCATGCAGAATTTCTCTTTATTTAAAGCTTTGAACAAACCTATAGGCTCACTTTTGTGGGTCAAATTCAGCACTAATATAAGTGGCAATTTAATCACATGCCATAGAAGAGTTTCTCATCTCAGATACAGGGTTGGCTGCAACAGCAAACATGCGAAAAACACTGGTGGAGAGTGGCTGTGGAAGAGAAATGAGCTTCAACTGAGTAAGTAGACATGACATCGTCATGAAACATTAATGCAACTTAAACTGACTTGGCACTCAGCAAGCAAAAATAGGGGCATTAATAACGCGTTCTGTGGAGCCTGATTTGTCTTCTAGCTTAAATTTCTACTAAAACCTGCTTATTTTGGGCTGACTTTAGCCCTGCAAGAGTTCACAAAATACAAGCATAAGCATGGGTTTACTTTGAGTGGTCAGCTTTATGTCACACATATTTTTGGTTGCTTTTCCTATCATGCACTGTAGCATACACCATGCATCACAGCAGGAAAGTTACATAAATTTTGTATGCTCAGTGAACAGAAGACACTTGACCGTTTACAATCAATTTATCATCAAATTATATATGACATACAGCTACCCACTGATTTCATCCCCAGACTGCAACCTAATTTATCATAGTTGGGCCTCTTTGATTCACCCAAGTTAACTGAATTTGGACTATGAATTTCACATGTATAAAGCCTGAGCAGGCAGTGTGACCTTATTCATAGGCATGAGAGCAGTAATACAAATGCCATTTTTTTCTGCGAGTCCTCATTTTTGCTGTATCAGCAATACTGAGATGATTTCAATCTGTACTGTGAACTGGAAGGAGATTCATCTGGTTTTATCTGATGTTATCACATAAAGTCACCATTCTGGTTAATTGGACAGCCAGGGACAGCAGTGGAAGCGTGATGCTTTACTTCTGCTGCTTGAAGAGGATTAAATCGTATTCCAGAAAGCTCTTTTACAAGAGCAATACCAATAAATGGTAGATGTACAAGTCATGACTATGCCTCTCAAAGGGCAAAAAAGCTCTTGGCTTCTGGTCTGTAAATCCAGTTTACAGTAGTGACAGTAAGCACACTGCTGAGGCAGCATAGGAAAGAGACACCTGGATGATACAAACATAAAACTAGCACATTACCGCCTGGAACTGCAAGGGTCACCGCAGAGAGGACATTTTTCACAAGTCTGGCCTGAAGCTCCTGGATGGGTGCAAGCACAAGACCCACAGACACATTCGCCTCTCCCATTGCACAATGTCCCATCCTCAGCAATGCAGGCTCTGGTGTCGGTTGTGCAATTACAGTATTCACCAGTCCATCCACTGTGGCACATGCATTCCCCACAGTCACAGTCACCATTACCTGGAAAAAACATTTATTATACTTCAGATCAGTTTCTTAGTATGAATCTGAATGATAGCCTTTGAAATTGTTCTCCTTAATAGCAGATATTTTCCCCTCTCCAACTCTTCTCACTCTTAAACGTCTTTCTTCTTCCCACAGCATTTGCAGTGTTAAGCCAGAGGATCAAATTTTCACTTAGACTGGCTGTAAGCCAAATGCAGCTCCATTCTCTTCACTGGAGTCCTCCACACAGATCGTATCTCCCAACAGTAAACAACCTAATCAGTAAATCCTCTTTCATTTATAGCAGCAGAATTTCAGCCTATCTGTTCAGCACTCTTGTTGCTGGTTCCTGACAGTTTAACTATTCCCATTGTTTTAGTAGAATCACTTCTGATTTATAATGGCATAGCCCAGGAAAACAATTATAAAAACAAATTCTCAAATTCTGATTATATCCTACTAACAAGGACACTAAGGCAAACCAAGAATAATAGAGGTTACTGGGTTAAAATTCTAAAAATATCAGAATTATCCTAAAAAGTGATTAAGATTAATCAATTAATATTGCTATGCTTTGATAATGATGTCGGAGTGAAATTGTACACTGTCAATACACTTACCTAATGTCATGTATGTATGTCAGATGTATGTCAATATACTCACCTAAACTTTCTTGGAGCTACAATCATCAATAGCCATTAAAAGTCTGATTGAGTGTGATGGTAGCCAATATGGCCCAGTAAAGCCATACCAATTAGACTAGCTATGGAGTGGTTAAAGGTGTCTCATTTTTAAATTTGAAAACAGAGTTAAAAATTGCTTCTTAAGATCACTCAGAAATGGTAAAGTACACTTTATGCAGCATTGAGTGCAAGTGCAGATATGATGCAAATGCAGATTCACAAGCTCACAGCTAAGAGCTAGACAATAAAACTCTAAAATGCAGACATGAAAAATACCATCAAGGGACCATACCTGCACACTGGAGCCCTCTGTGTCTCACACATGAGAAGTCATCGCATTCACAGCGTGGCCCGTACACCTTTCCATACAGGGAGAGGTGGCAGACACACTGCCCGCAGTAGCAGTCACCTCTCCCGCTGCAGGAGCTCTGCTCTGCTGAGCCCTTGCAGGAGCTGGTGTTGAGGGAGCTCTCGTCACATTCACAGTGTGGCCCCACGTACCCTGGGCTGCAGACGCACACCCCGCACTCAAACGATCCTTTCCCGTTGTTGCATTTTGGGCTGTTCATCTCAGCCTTTGCCTGACAGCTACAGCCGCACTGGGGATCAATCTCCATTTCCAGCATGTCACTGAGCCCCACTGGTTTTATCACAATATGCCTTCTGTTTTTTTCACAAGAGGAGAGACTTACAGTCATGTTGAAAGAGACCTGGAAGAGAAGATGGTGTCTGTTTGGAGCTGCAGCACACGTAGCTCTGCAGGGTACTCTGGAAGCACATGCAGAGGACAGAACAGGAGGGTCACAGATACCACCTACTTTTCTGTAACTTTTTCAGAGGAAGATTTCTTAAAGAGCTACCTCTCTGCCTTGGTGTCTTACCTTCTCTGGGCTTCAAGTCTTTTGAGAATTTGTGCTTTACTTACTGTGTCTCCCACTTTTACATGAGAACATTTCCTCTGATGTGGAAAAAAGGTCCCATTGTTACAGATGGCTGTGAAAGAGAGATTGAGACCTTCTGTCTCTCCCAGGATCTCCAGCTCCACCTCGGACCTCAGCTCCTTAAAGGAAAAAGGTGTGAGAAGAATGGAGCAATAACACTGCCAAGAGCACTACTGCTCCATGTCTGTGGAAGATAGACTGTAACTTACCCTGACTTACACAGGTAAATCTGTGGATTTGGCACTTTATTTACAGAACTTCTCTAGTGCAAAAAAAATGGGGAATGAACAAAACCAGTGCTGACAGAACCAGCTTTCAGTGGGAAGCAATGGTGGTATCAGTTTAATATCCACTATCACGGGGCTTATTTCCTGCCCTTGCAGGAGAATAAATTCAATGTTTTATTAAATCATCTTTCATTATTAAGTGCTCTGCTGGCTGATACAGGTTTTCCTTCAGCTCTGGTCTTACTGAGGAAAGGATTTGTCTCCCTGATTGCATTGCTAGGACTGGGCTTTTCCTGATTAGCTAGCCTATGTCAATATTGCTCCCTCTTTATCTCTTCTGGTAGAATTTCCTGGCAGGCTGTTACACAAAGACAGGCAGGGTAGAAGAGGAGGAGCCGCACTATGTTAAGAAGAACCTTGGATGTATAAAAGTCAACTATGGTGATTGCAGAAGTCCTGTTGAATGCCTGTGAGTCAAGATCAGAGAGGTTGTTTCCAAGGGGAATCTTACAGTAGGCATTTGCTGCTGACCTCCAAACCAAGGTGATAAGGCCAATGAAGCAATATTTGGGTCACTTGAGCAAGCGTCAGATCAGCAGAACCTGGTTCTTATGGGTGACTTCAGCCACCCAAACATTTGCTGGAAGAACAATACAGCAGCTCACATGTCATCCATCAAGTTCCTGGAATACACAGAGAACTGCTTCCTCATACAAATGTTAGATGTACCAACAGGAATGAGGCACTGCTGGACTTGCTACTAACGAACAGAGAAAACCTGCATTGTAATGTCTCAGTGATAATATTGGCTGCAGTGATCAAAATATTGTGGAGTTTGGGATCTGGCTGAACCTGCTGAAGGCTACTACTAAGAGCAAACTTTAGCTCATTCAGAGCTCAGCTGGGAGGGATTCCATGGGAAGTTCGTATGGAGTATAGAGGAGCTAGTGAGTGCTGGGACATTTTCAAGACTGCTCTCAAAGCACAAACCCAGTTCATCACCTTTAAAGATAAGGGAAGTAGGTGGAGCAAGAGACGTGCTTGGCTTAACTGCAAGCTTCTGAGTCTGCTCAAAACCAAAAGAGAAGTGTACCGGAGATGGAAAAGCAGACAATTAACCATTGAGAACTGTAAAGGCATTGTCAGGGTGTGAAGTTAGAAAAGCAAAATCTCAGCTCTGATTGAAACTGGACAGAGATGCCAAAAACTACAAGAAAGGGTTCTTCAGGAGCTATACATTGAGACGGTCCAGAGAAGGACCACAAAGATGATCAAAGGACTGGGAAGCCTTCTGCATGAGGAAAGGCTGAGAGAACCGGGTTTGTTTAGCCTTGAGAAAAGAAGGCTCAAGGGAGACCTTATCATCATGTTCCAGTATTTAAAGGGTAGCTACAAAGAAGATGAAGAATTCCTGTTTTACAAGGAGTCACGGGGAAAGGACAGGAGGTGATAGGTACAGGCTTATCCCAAGGAGATTTTGATTGGACACAAGAGAAAAATTTTTCACAATGAGACCAATCAGCCATTGGAATAATCTCACCAGAGAAGTGGTGAATTCCCCAATGTTGGATGCTTTCAAGATTCAGCTGGATGGGATGCTGGGCCATCTTGTCTAGACTGTTTCCCTTCCAACCTGGTATTCTGTGACTGTATGAATCAAACCTTACAATCTCTTTCACAGCAGTGCAGGCTCTGAGCTCAGTTTTGCCTTAGTGCGGGGCCTCCATGAGCTAGCCCAATGTTTCCTGGACCAGAGCCAGAGTTGAGTGGCATGGTGAGCTCCCACAGCCAGGAGGCTTGCTCCCTTCCTTTCTTCTGATGAAAATTCCTGCCTCACGAGCTCTTGGTGGTATTTCAAGTTGTATTCAAAAATGTTTTCATTTCTTAAATCAATCTGTCCAATCAAACTTTCATTTCTTAAGTGAAAATCTTACTTCCTGAACTCTCTCATACCAAGTTTTTATATTCAGCTATCTAAAATATTATATAGCAATTTTGCTTACACAGCTTAACCTTAATCCGAGCCTATAGCACACCGTGGGGAAATTCCCTATGACTTCACTAGGCTGTGGATCCAGCAAGTGGAATCTTTTCAAAAGTACCTTAGCAATTGCTGAGAAAAAGTCTCACTGGCTTGGCTCATACAGCTTAACTGCTTTACAAAATACCCCCATGAAGAGCTTGCTGACCTTCCTTCAGTGAGTCATTCTAGTCAAGGCATCAGGATGATTCACTGGAATAAAAGTCTGGTGTGGTAAAACAAACTAAAAGTAGAATAGGTCTAAACCTGCACGGATGACAACACCCTGTCCTATGTATGTGTTCTGGCTTCCCTGGAAATTTTTCTTAGGGTTGTCTTTGGTGGTAACGTCTTTTCATTTGGAAAGCCTTGTCAGTAAACCAAAGCAAGACACAGTCATGCAAGACACAGTGCTCTTTCCAGCACACAGCCAAAGCAGTAGAACTGTGCCCTGGGCATCTGGTTGGTAATATTGGTAGCTCTGGATATGTCCAATTTTGCCTTTGCATTTGTTTTAGAGTTAGGTGCTTATGCTGCTACTGAAACAGTTTGCAATAGCTGGGCTCTCACAAAAGAACCAAATACTGCAAACCTCTAGGTAAAACTGTGGATGCTGGTATGTGCTAATGTTGCTGGAAGTATCACCAAACAATCCCTCCTCTTCCAGCAGCAAAACTACAAGGCTCAAATAGAAAGCAACTGTGAGAGAAAATTAAATGCTCCTGAACACCAAGTCTTTGAATAATTATGTTCATTGAGTAACACGTTGAATTCTGGGGTCTGTACTGGGCCATTTGAATATGCCTTATTGTTGTGGGAGGTCAAACTACACATCTTACATCATGAAAATAAACACATAAACTGTGACAAACTCAAGTTTATTAGATCTTAATATATGTGAGGACTTCTAATGGTGTTTTAAATTTACTAAGCTGCCTGGCCATAGTTTGGGGACAAACTGCGGACAGTTTAGTGAGCTTTAAGCCATACACAGAGAAACATTTGTGGTTCAAAAGAATTTCTGAATGAAACAACAGATGAAGCAGTGTTACAAACTTGTGTCCGTGTGTTACCTGTCCTTTTTTAACATGCTGTGTTTCTTTGGTCTAATCTTCTTGTAAGTTAAAGGACAAGCACTGAAAAAAGAAGAGTGGATTTTTTTTCTGAAATTTTAAAATCCTGGAATGACTTCAATCAAATGGCCTGATATCTGTCACAATGCATTCTAGCGCACAGCTCTGCATTGCAAAGCTATGCAGAATTCAATGTTAAACAAAGCAGGCAGAAATGTGCTTACAGAAGAAAATGAATCATACTTGGAAAGAACACAAGATCTCCTTGTAACAAATATTTTGACAGCTCAGACTTTCTTAACTTGCTTACTTCCTCCTCTGAAGCTTTTAGATAGCAGCACATGGTGAATGGCATTAGCAAACCTTGTGTTTGTACAGCCAGCAAAGACTTGAAAGCACTTTCAAAGTGTTAAAAGATTTAGCCTAGCTCTCTACTCTTGGGGGGCAAATAGTTGTTTATTCCTTTCTTGTGAGTAAAGAAACAGAGACACCAGGCATTGAATTACACTGCTGAGAGTATCATGGAAAGACTGACAAAAATGGAATTATGCCTTCTGCTTTGCATGTGATTTTTAACCATAGGTCTGCCTTCCCCCTTTCCAGTCCCAGTCCCCAGAAATTCAGATGTCTCAACTTATGCCAAATAAGGTGGCTTTCAGTGTGTCCTGCTTGGAACATTTTAAATCATGAATCAATAAGATTTTTAACCTTTAAGTGTAATAAAATGGTGTCCGGGAAATTTTGAGTGTGACATGTTGCTACTGTCACTTTATACATGTGCGGGATTTTATGAACCTATGAGCAACTCTGGCACATAGTCCAGACATGCTGTACCTGAACGAGGACACGACTCATGGCCCAAAGGCAGGAGCACTGTTCTGCAGCTTCCTTCCTGCTGCTATGGGATCAGAGAAAGCACTGAGTGCAGAGCACCTACCAAACCCAGCTGAAACCGGGACTGAACAAAACAACCTGAGCTGTACCAAGGTCATCACTGATCCATATCAGCATATATGTGAATTAAAATATCTGTGGGAATACGTGTAAAACTGTCAAAAAAACTTCCCCTGACAGAAGAGAACCAGGCAGCCAGGATGCGTTTTACAAACAAAACTCTGAAGAGCAGCATTGTGTTTATGTTCCTGTCATCCTTACATTTCTTGCTATTATCTAAACAAACCCATTTCAGCTCCTGCATTCTGCTTTTAAAAAACCTCAGAACAGCCTCACAGGGGCAGCATCAAGTTGCTAAAGCAGAGAAGAGCACTGAGCAGAAGATAGTGCTTTTTTTCCCCAGATATTCCTGCAGACCAATCGTGCATCTGCTCTGTTGACATCTGCTGATGGAAAGAAGGTTAAGTCTCTATTGAGATATAAAACTAAATACCTATGTTAAAGAAGGCTTAAAAGTAATTTTGAAATACAGGACTATGAAGAAGGCAAGAGAGATGAGACACTGATGTGAATTTAGCGTTCCACCAGGACTAAGGAATTATTGGGAAGGTTATTGGGATTTTGTTTCTGTGCTCTTAAAATTCAGAGTGAACAAAACTGTTTAAGATCAGCACCTAAGCATAAAAAATTATGCTCTTGGAATCAGTGCATAGGAAGAATCAGACGCTTGTTTTTACCAAATTGCAATCTAATTTTGAGAATACAGACATGCAGGATGAAAACACATTATAACCATCTTACCTGATATGCAGCAACGATCAACTGGAGAATATTTCCAGAATCCTTCTGTAATTGTCCAACAGTAGCTCCAGGAATAAGCTTTGCATAGTTCTGAAAATACAAGAAAGAATTTAAAGCAAAAAAAGAGACTAGGTGACAAGAAACTACTATCTGAAAAAACAGAACCAAAACAAGCAACAAAATATATTGAAGCCAACTAAAATAAACAATAGTGAAGTTTTTGGTGTTTTCAAGGACCCTTGCAGGCTCAGTAACACATGTCCTATTGAAAAAGTCCTATGCAGAAGTTCTGATTTCACTGAAAATTGGTGGGACATATATTGCTAAATCACCTCTATGTGCTTGGAGGTTTGATACTCCAGTAGTTTTCAGCTCTGATTTTTCAGATTTAGTAGGAAGATATATTCTCTCAACAGCTGTGTTTTTCTCTAATAAAAATAACCAAAATCAGATTCAGCTGCTCTACTGTTGCTGTACTATTCGAGAGTCTTGGGCCCTCCATTCAACCTTCCCTCAGTCACTTTTTTACCTTTGCAAGCAGCTGAAAATCTTGGATTCTGATTAGTGAGGGCACAGAAGTTAAGGAGTTTAAACTAAGAGCTACAAGAACTTAGAACAAAGACTCTTTAAAAAACTGTTGCTCATTTATGTTTGAGGCACACCCCACATGTACCCCAGTGGTCTGTGGCTATTATTAATTGTATGCTAACTTCGTGTTAATAATGTAGTGCCAATTTAACAATTTATTTCAATGATAAATTATTTTTTCTTTTTCCCTTAAATTGCATTGTGACTCTAACATGACAGATAGATTTTAAATACGTTTAATTAAAATTTATGTTGCCTGGTTGTTAACTGCATGAACTCCTCTTGCTTGTACCCATGCTTTGGAAAATAATAAGTGTTCATCATTAAAGAAACACATTGCAATGTTCATTTTCTTTTTCAATTTGTCATAACAATGCTGTGGTTTTAATTAAAAAAAAATCAAGAGAGCTTTTAATAAAAATGGATATTTTGTTACCCTATTATCTCTTTTATACTTCACATCTCCAAAAGCCCTGTGATTACTTTATATATTATATAAGGAATACTTATAACTCATTAGATTTCTAAAGTGCTATTGTAAATCAATGGGATTTAACTGCATTTTTTGTTACAGCTGGTGACTTTGTATTCCTGGCTCCTCCTGTGATTAGTGCTCTCTCAAGAATTCTTAGAGTATTGAAACTCCTCATTTTGTACGCGTGGACTGATTGGAAGGTAATTACAGAAAATACGATAAACCTGGAATATAAAGTATAGCACCTTTTAATCTGCGGTATGCAAACCAAACAGCAAGGACATACTGTTCTGGAGACTTCATTTGATCTTTCCTCTTTGAACAAAGATTTTCTGCATGGTGACACAAGGATGACATTGCAAGGCCAGTCTAAGTGTGTATCTCCACTGGTTAAATCTTACCTTTTAGCAAATATTTTTGTTTAACCATTAACAAGGTGAGGCAGACTGATGTTTTTGGAGTGATACTGTTGTAAAACATCCAAGGGATGTAACAGAATTTAGTCTTTTAATAAATACTCATTAAAAGGTGAACTGCCATTATGTAGATACTCTGATTAGTGTTACTGAGCTTTGACAATTATGTATTTCAGTTCAATGCGGTCATATCTAAGAATTTTCATCATACTAGAGTGCCATGCCAAATTTATAAAAAATATTTTATATTCTGCACAAGTATGGAGACTGGAGTATTTTTAGTTCAATTTTCAGCAGTGGAAATCAGGCTGAAAACCTAATTTTCAAGATGTATTCTCCTGTGATATAAAAAGAAAATCATTTGTCCAAAGCAGAGCAATTTCTCTTTCAAGAGAAGTGGTGCTTAGTCAGGGCTAAAGAGGGAGTCTTTTCCTTTATCTAAGTTTGAATAAATTTTTAAAGAATTCTACTTGAAAACAAGTATCTACAGTAATAGCAGCTACATTGTAGTGCAGTAGCTGTTGGGTTGCATAGAAGGATCAAAACCAACACCAGCTATGTTAGAAGCATACATATTCTGTGCTTGTGCAATCAGTAATATTTCTGTGTTAGATAATAATACACATACATGTAAGTGGATAAACTGAAAATTCAGTTAAAGAGGATCAAGAATATTAGATGACTGACTTATTTGGGGCTAAATTGTTGGGGATTATACAGGGCTAGAAATATAAAATGCATATTTGGCAATCAGAAAACTGCACTTAAGTCTAATGGAATCCATCAAGTCTATTTCAAGAGGTGCTTTCTAAGTCCTGACAGTCATTTTAATGTACATTTTTCCCTAAGAACTGAACTATCAATAGCAGTGGTCAGGTTTTGAGGTCTGATATAGTAAGATGCTGAGTTCAAGTAGATTCAGAATATTTGGGGAGAGGCTTCCCACCTTAAAGGATAATTAAATCTGGGAGGGTTTTCCGAGAGAGAATGCAGAATCTCCATCACTGAGGTGTTTGAAAAGATACAAAACACAAAGACAAGAGTGGTTTAATTGTGGCGCCCAAGTGACAGTTTAGAGTCCTCTCCCAGCTCTTCCAGGCTACCTCAGTTGTCGTAACACCAGAATAACTCTCATTGTCTTGCTTTGCTCTTTTTACAGTCCTAAGCATGAATACCTTGTTGTTTGTATTTATATTACAAATTTGAACCATGCAAATGAATACACAACACTATTATTCTGTTTGCAGGTTGTACATATACCCTTGAAAGTATACTGTAGTGTGGAAAATCTGCACTGTGAGACATACATGATTTTTGTGCTTCCTATGACTGATTTTCTGCATCACCTCCAGGACAGAAAGCAGACCATAACAACTATAGCTATTCTATTAAGTGACAGAAAGCAGTATTAAAAGACAAAAGCAGCAGATAGAATATACTGAGCGGGATTACTATAGACCCTACAAGATAGAAGATAGTTGCACTTTTTTTTTCCTAACAAAGAAAGTAACAAGAACAAGCCATTCCCCAGTGGAATTAACAATGGCTTACACTTTTTGTTAGGTATAAATCTTTGTTTAGTGTTCCCAGCGAGCAAAGAGTGCCACTTGATAACTTTGATACTGGTGTAACACTGACACAGGGTTACTGAAATAGAACCTTCCTGGTAAGAGCACTGTTGGCCAACTCTGAGGGTGACTGCCACCAATTCCAAGGGAAAATATAATGCCATCAGTAATAGAAAGCTTCTTTGGACTAAATAAGGCTTTGTAAATCAAAGAGAGAGTTCCGAACTACCTCCTAGAACAGCCCTTATTCATGCAGTTCCTATTAAAATCAGAAAAACTGTTTCACTTGTCATTAATTGAGCCCCTATTAAGAAATCGTTAAGCAAGAATGAGATTCAGGAAAGGTTTTTAATGCGCAAATTTTGTCTAATGTATGCTATGACTATAGAATCCCACTTCACTTTTAAGTGATTGACTTCTACATAGTTGATCCACATTTTCACACTTCAGCTCAGTATTTAACACAGTCAGGTAGTCAGTGCTCCAAGATGCAGATTGCATCCTCCCTTGTCAAGTGTGTAATCTGAGAAACAGTTTATGAAAGATATGACTCCTGTAACTCTTCTCAAACTCCTGGAGCATTAGTCTTACTCAAGGTGACTCTACAACTGGAATCAGTTGCAGAAGCACTGGGGGGTCTTCCCTGGGTTACAGAGAGGACAGATAGAGAAAACAATCATACTGGTGAGTACCTCAAGGACTCATATGCTCTCTGCTGTAACACAGGGCCTTTTCCCCTAGCTTTTCTGTTTTCCATGAGGTTACCACACTGGAGGAGCACTTTTATTTACTCTTGGTTTTTAATGAGGAATGCCAAGTGAAGGTTTTTCCTTTGGAAAGTTACATTTATTGCATCACCAGGATCACCCTTACTGACTCCCTCTCAACCAACCTGAATACATTCAGAGGCACAATTTCTCTTGTCCCCTTTTCACACAGCAGCACGTGGCCAGGCAGCCAAGCTTACGCTGCAAACGCCCTTTTTATCTTCACTGAATTCTTATCTAAAATTTGGTTTTGCATGTGAAGATTTCTCCCCAGCAGCAGGACTGGACAGAAAAGGAAATGAGAATTGCCAATACCCTTCTGATTCTATCATAGAGGGGTTTTGCTCATATTCACTGCAAAAAGCAGTCAAGTGGCTGTTTGCGACTTTGCCTCAACTCACCGCTTGAATATCCAACAGGCCAAAAGAAGCATGGGGCTTCAGGAGGGTTTATATCTGTGGAGGCTGAAAATGGGTGCCTGCACAAATGACTGATGGATCTGCGGGTATGAATGCTATAAAATTTATTAAAAGTAAGGCTTTTGCATATCCGTGAGCACTGCTGCTCTACTCTCTCCTCTCTTCTGGCTCCCTTTTACCATGACATGACTTCACAGAGCAGAAGATTAATTCACAGAGCAGGATTCTGCCAGTCTTAATGTCAAAAATTCCTGTAATGAAGTGTTTCCCCTCAGTAGACATGAGGAACGACACATGAAGGAAGAGGACTTTGTCCATCATGTTGGGTATTTTTAATCTCGCCCCTAGTTTCCTATTTGTCTCTTTGGAAAGAGACACAGAAACAAAGAAAAATTAATAAAACTCTCAGATCAGCAGGAAAAAAAACACCACAATCTCAGAGTTGGGCTTGAGGAAACTTGTGTCTTTCAGAATGCAAATGTGTCTTAGAAATGTAGGAAAAGGCTCAACTGTCCTTCTTTAGCCTTATAAAATACAAAAGGCTAATCATAATGATTGCACTGAATAGTTATGCATTGCTTACTTTGACAATCCTTGACTTAAAAAATTAGTGTGATTCAACTTAAAATCTAGCGTAAGAGTTACTTGAGAATATCAAATTCACTACATGAAGAAGCACTTCCTAAGTAAAAGTCTTACTGTGATATATAACTTCCCAGCTACTTTTATTACATAGATATCTTGCAGAATTCAGTCCTTAGTACTAGAATTATTGTATCAGCTGTGAAAAAGGGTAACCTTTAAAACAAGTACTGGTGAACTGAATGTTTTAATGTGCTTACCTCGTATATGTGAACTTGCTCATTTGTTACAGCAAAAATTAATAAAACATTGTTTTGCACAAGTTTGTCAATTAATTGTCCGATTGTGGGATACTCCTGCAAACAGACAGAAGAGAGCCGCATTAACCCATTTTTCATGTGCATCCAGTTGCTAATTATCTCCCATGAAACACACATTCAAGTAATCATGATTAGCACTGTGTTCTCTGTGTACTATAAACTATAATTAGGCACTACAAGTATACAAAATAAAAGATAGCGTATATAATTTCCTTGCATTGTTTTTAAGGAAACCCCTCTGAGAAAAGTATGGTGTTGGCCTCAGTACTGACACTTGGCTCAGTAGGTTCTGTGAGATATATATATATATAATCCAAAGAATAACACTGCACCAGAGCAACTGGGTATTTGTCCTACACTGAACACCGTAGTGTATATATTCAGCATTTTTGAATAGAAATCTTAAGATGGTAAATTCTCTTACACATTGTCCTACAAGTTACTGAACTCCTAAAACCAAACCCTTACAGGGAACAAGGTTAATGTGAATTTTGCCTTCTCTGTAGAAGGAAATATCAGTCAGTCCCTTTCCATGTGTTTTCCAGGTTAGTAGGAATAAGATTTGTGCTTCCTTTTTTCCTAGTTGTAGTCTATCCTAGCTCCACAGAAACACATTTTTCACTGAAATCTGTAATTACAAATAAAATACATTACATGCAATATCTGGATTCCCCATCTTTGACACATTTCAATGGTAAAGGTATACTTTCATTAATTTTTTAATTTTCTCATGTCCATCCTTTAATTTCCAGAATGTAAGAGTTGTATAAGATTCATAGCAAATTACCAGAACAGTTGACATGGAGTACTCATTATTGTGGTCCAAATGACAGTTCCCATCATTAGGAATAACTATCCCTGCCAGTTTGCTGTCCATCCCAAAATGGGAATCAGCATCGCTCACAAACACCAGCAAATGTAGAGAATCATTCCTCCATCCAATTTTTTCCTGTCATTTAAAATGCATTAGTTTAGCAAGCTGTATTGCACACACAATAGAGAAAAGCAGCAAAAGGTCTGGAGAACAGCTCCTCAAAATAAATGAAGAGAATAACTTTCAAGGGAGTGTCAAAATCATCACAACATTTCTTAAGAGATAATGTTCATTCCATTGTCTTTGGTTAACATTTTGTCTCCCCAGTCTTGTGTTTAGTAATATGGGCTGGCCGTGTTCGTTGCAATCTGCTTACCACTCTAAACATAGTTAATCGAAAATATTTAAAGAAAAAAAAATCAAGAAAATGAACCCAGTAATTACACAGTTGTTTAATTTTTTTTAATCCCTGGCGACTAAAAAGAAACACTAAAGTATTGCAATACGCATGTTTTACTTGATAGAGCCAAAAGTATTTTCACACAAAGCTAATGAGGCTCTTGGACTGCATTAGAACAAAATCCTGAAAAATAATGATCTGCTGCTTTGAAATACAACCATATGATACCAGAAGTAGAAATAAACAGAATAATAAAATACCTGAGAAGTTTCAATTACCTTGCAAACAGCTGCCTGCATAATTGCATCGAAACCTCCCTCTGGAGTGTCTATATTAGCAGAGATCCGCTGTCTTTTCACAATTTCATTGAATTTTTCAGCATCATTTGTTAGTGGCAAAACATGTTTGTATCCAAAGGTGGGTAAGCAATCGTAGGGAACACTTCTACAAGATAAGTGAGACAGCTTATGGATAATACAGAGTGAAAAATCACTTCAATGGCTACTTCGCAGGCCTGTCTGGATTAAGTTTTTGTCATGTATCTTCTGTGTCTGAGACAGATCTAGTGAAAAACATAAGATCAAAGAGCATCCAGTAGGGTGGGCAGTACAAAGCGGTCTGCATAAAGCCTGGGAAATGTCTTTGAGATCAGAGTAATTCAGCCATTTAAACACATGCAGTCTTTGCCATGCTCCCTGCTGTGCTTTGTTTTAGTACTCAGAAGCACATTAGGATCTTCAGTCCCTTAATGACATACAGAGAGCATCGCCAAGCTGCTGCAGTCCTGCTTCAGGCTGTAGAGCACAGCTTCTCCTCCACGTGAATTAGAAAATGGTTAGGGCAGCCGCAGTTTAGGGGATACTGCTAGAATTTAAGGGGAAAAAAAAGCAGGGAAACAACATTGGTGGGTAAATGCTATTCTGCGTTGGGTTTGAGCTTGCACCTGCTTAGTATAGCAGTGCCATAAAATTCTTATATGTATCTATATATTCTAGCAAATTAAATAAAAATATATATTCTGCGTACCTATGTGTTAACCTGTTAAGGATATTTATGACTAGCAGCAAAAGCTAGAAAGCAGAATCATTCCCAGATTCCTCTCTCCAAATAACGTAAGACTCAACAGAATAATGAGGAGAGTGTGAAACAAATAAAAACTAAATCTTGCTTCCAAAACTGACTCATTTACAGCTGGAAGAGGTTCTAGTGAGGTTGCTGAATTGAATTTTATCCTAAAGATTAATATTATGACTTAATGCTGTCATACAAACAGATGCGGGTACTTTTGCTGCCTACCTGCAAGGGTTGCTTATTTCTGCAGCTGTAGTTTTGATAAATGGTGAAACTGGTTTTTCAACAAAAGATCCAAAGCCCAGTCTGAAGTTGCTTGTCAGTTTTGACATTTCTTTAGAGAGAGTTGAGCCCAATTCTTTGATTGTATTCAGATCATCATCCATGGAGGCTGAAAGATCCATGAGGTAATATAGATCAATTGGATAATCTTCAGTTTGCCGAACCTTGATCTGTATTGTTTCTTCATGTCCTATTAAGGTCGTGAGAAAGTGGGATACATGTTAGTGCTTCTACACAGAAGTTATGAGCAATGCCAACTTTTCCTAAATATATATATGGTGAAAATCATCTAATATTTTAAATCACCAGCAGAATAAAGAAAATCACTTTAAAAATTCTCTGTCAATGAAAATCTCAAACAGGGATCTAAAAAGTGAAAAGCAGTTCTAGTGGGTTTTTTCCTAAACTGTTCTTCAGTAAAGCTGTAAGCACAGATTTACAACTGATTGCTCTGTTTGAAAAAATAGGAGAAAATCACTTCAGCAGTATGTAGCTTCAGAAAACTAGTTATGTAGCTATTTAAAACTAAAGGTAGTGCTTAATGGGACATACTTTGGATATTTGAAGAAAACCAGAGTGTACACACCGGTTTTACTCTCAGTTCCAACACTATGATATGACCTAACTGAGTGTCTCCTACATTTCTTTATTCCAAATTTTCTCCAGGAAAAATTCACATCTTAAGGACCACAAAGTAGGTCTGGAGTGTTTCCATAAACGTCACTGGTACCTTGAAAATCCTCAAAGCAAGATTCTATGCTGCCTCTGAGGTATGCTGTTTGTCAGACCTGAAACGTAGAGGGACAGGGTTGGGGTGGTATATGGGGCTTCCATTCTCTCCCTGCAATCTCAATAGAGTTCCCAGCTCTTCTGAATGTTCCCAGCACTGCTGGAAGTGTTTTGAACTCACTCACTCAAACCTAGTTTTCATCTGATGAGTCAACAGATAATTTTGGACTCAACATAGGGTTTTTATCTGTATTCTATAAAGATTATGTTTTTTTGTAAGACCAATCAGTCTGATAAGCTTCAGTATGAAAACATTTATATCCCACGTCTATGAACTGAGTGACTTACCTGGTCGAAGCCTGAGAGTTAGTTTTTGAGGAGATATCTGTGTAACATCAGAATTTGTCTTCTGGGACGCTACAGTTAGGGGCTTATTTCTGTGAATTTCTACTTCTGAAAAGGGAAATTCAATCGAATTCAACTGGCATCCTTTTGACAAAAGGTTTTCTGGGGTATCACACCTCCCGTGAGTTCCAACTGAGTCTGTGTAATTCTAAAGCAAACAGGAGAAGGAAGGGATGAGTTAAACATATTTACTGACCAGCCACAAGCATCTGGCTGATGAAAGGTCAATCCAATGCAGGGAACAGAAACAAAGGGGCAAGCTAGTGCAAACTAGTGCAGAAAGAAATATAGGTGGCACAGAAATCTAAATTTGCCCTTCATGGATTGTGTCATGCAGGTGTATAAATAATGTAACTTACACCAGTTTGGTATTCTGGGAGAAACTGCTCTGTTGTTGGGGAATGGGAATTGTGCCACTCACTGCGTTTGGCTTCTTACAGTACTGGGAATGATAACACAAACCCCTATAAGTCCATATTTTTTCTATGACAGGATCAAGCCACAAATTCATCAGTCTTCCATGAACAATTTTGAGCTGCTGATAGAACAGCATCATTTAATAACAGAAGAGGTCTTGCAGCTAATAGACTCCTACAGATTTTGTTGCAAATAGTGCGGTACCTAGTGTTAACTGGTTTTATTCTGACCTACTCATTCTCCTCAACATCCATTTAACATGTTCACTGAAGCAGGTAGCAAGTCCTTGTTACTCTGCCTGGTGCCTAACAAGCCCCAGAGCCTCCTTTCCTCATTTCCCAGCATCAGCAGGGCTGCTGGCATGCCCACATCTATCTGGTTATGTTTGGCCCACCATCCTACTTGACCTTTTCTCATCTGGAGGAAATCACAAGCCCTATCAATACTGGTTAGATAGCTTGCAGTTTATTTTTGTTACCCATTTCAAAGCACTTGATATGCATTCCTTTCCACAACACTGCTGCAGAAATTAATGGCTACAAAGAGGCTTCTGTGCCTTATTACCATTTCCTAGAGCTATGTCTAGAGTTTAGATCTTCAAAATCAGTCAGCTGCCTTCTGAACTGGACACTGCTCTGGCCTGCAAGACCTTTTGACCAAAATCTCATCAATGCCCAGCAGAAACAGCACCAAAACATTCAATTGCTGGATGATGGTAATGAGCCCATACATGGGGCTGCTCTTTTCTCCTGGATTTGGGTGAGAATCCAGGGTTCAGCCATTAAGCCACAGATATTCCTAAATTCAGCCCACTGAAAAACTTCCCATCCAAAGCAAAACAAATTTACTTAGAACCTATTAAAACCAGAACTAGGACCCTTATGTCCACCAAAATGCCACCCTTCATGCCTGAAAATTATCAGGGATCTTATATACTTTATGGGAAGACACCTGATTTGAAAAGTGGTTCAATCTCACCAACTACTTCTTGAATACAATGCTCATAGAAGTCATGTACCATTATAAAACTTTCACAGGGACATCCATATCATCTCCTTTAGTTACATGCTTTCTGACTTTTCAAAACATGTGAAAAGTCAAACTCATGTTTCAAATACAATTGCAAGGTGCGTTTTTATCCTACAGTAAACAATGGTTTCTTTGGAGGCACTTGTGTTTACTCTGACACTAAAGTTCCTATGTCTTTGGCACTCTTGATGTGTTGCTGTCTAGGAAACAAGTGAATGAGCCTACAAAGAAGTTGAAAAATCATGTTTACTACTCTGAAGCTTTCAATGGATAAACTTTTATTTATTTATTTATTATCATGAAATTGTGTTTCATTTTTGTTTTCTGAAAATCCCTGGCAGGAGTCAAAGTTCTGTGATCAAATTTCATTTCAGCTTTGGTTGTTAAATATAAATATAAAAAATACTGCAAACACACTACTGTGGCTGGGGTTTTCCCCATAGGAACTTTTTTTTGCAAACTGCTATATTATTTTTGGAAAACTTTTTTTTTAAAAAAACCCTGCTGTTCAGTCTTTGTCAGCTACTTCATGAAGCAGTTATGTTAGTCTCATCCTAGCTATCATTTTGCTATTCAGAAAAGCAAGAAATATTTTTAACAGCAAAGGTGTAAATCAGAATCTATAATGAAAAAGACTTTATTTATTATTTCTGGCAAGTTTTTAATTGTGATAGCTGATATCTTGCTTACACAAAATAAGTCCTAGAACATTTACTGTGAAGTAGGGAGATATTATTTAGCATCATTTACAGGTGAAATTTTTAAACACAAACATGTTAAGTGGCTTGTATGGGGTTACAAAGAGAGTCTGCAACAGGTATATGGGGAAAAATCCAGGTTTCTTTTTTAAGCCTCATGTTTTAACCAAAGCACTTACAACTATATCATGCTAGTTATTAAACTGACAGTATTATCATACTTAAAATCAACCACATATTAGTCGTTTGTATATGCAAACTGACTGAAGCACCTTCTGTTTACAGTGTCTGGCTTTGCATGTAATGTATAAGATGGAGTCTGGTCTCTGACTTGATGTCTAGTTCTTCATCATCAGCACCATGAGTGAGTCAGCCCTGAGGCTGATGAACTGAGCCCCTCTGCTAGCACTTTTATTTCTGCCTTAGATGAGGAAGGTTGTCTTTAAAAAACAAAACAAAACAAAAACAGAGCAGCAAAACTGTGAACAATAGACCATAAAGGCTAGATAAAATTCCACTTTTGATTCCCAGGAAGGCTTCACTAAGCACTGCATGCATTACAAAACCACAGACTGACCCAATTAAGTCAATACTTCATCATTCAGAGCTAGTACATCCACTTCAAGTCTTACTTTGAAATTTTTTTGTATCATTTACTCTACCTCTTGAGAACACCAAGCACAGTGTGGTCCGGAAAGCAAACAATCTTCACAAGTCACTGCACTTTCCTGAGAACAGGTCCCTAAATTTAAATCCAAGAAGATAAAGAAAAATATTAATAATGTGTTTAATCATTCAGCACATGAAGAATGTTGGCTTTTAGAGAATGTGAGAGGTGAAAAATGGACACTTTTAGCCATATTTAAGATTACTGATAAAATTCCTTTGTAAAAGTATTTCTATTAGTAGATTTACCATCTAATTAAAATTAAAATCACATAATTGCTGGCAATCGGCATACTCACTTTTGCATGTTTTATGGATGCCATCCACTGAGAAAATGTTACTTGTTTTCTCCTGTGCACCTGATAGTGTTACATGTGTTTCTGCTATGGTGTAGGTACGACATTTCCAATATAAGCAGGGGTACTAAAAGAGCAGATTTATGTTCACTCTATATGCTTAAAATTGTTTCACTCACATCTGTAGATACTTGATATGATTTTAATTTATCATGCAAGTACCAATGAAACACTCAGTCACATATATAGTATCAAGTTTCTCAGCAAATCAAGCTGTGATTAATATAAGCAAAATTGCTCAAATGCCCATCTCTTTCATACATGTCGTGCTACATAATGACCACATAAATCTTAGGCGAATTTGCAGGGCAGCCCTACAGCAGTCTGTCAAACAAACAAAAAAAAAGTCATTAAACAAAAAGCAATGATTAAATATTGAAGACAGAAAGTGATTTTGTGTCAAATTCAAGCAAGAAACAATGCAAAAATGGTTTTGAAATGGATTTCTCTGTCCCTGAGCCTTACCTTGCACATTGTTATTTCTGTGCAGAAACAGGAAACAGAGGCAAAGCAATTCAATCCCCATTCGGTTTCAGTGCTGGCTGCGTGACAAGAAAGTATTAGCGTGTTAATTATCATCTGCAGAAAGGTAGAATGTCGTAAAAATCACTCAGTCCTGGAGGGTATGTTTTCAGGTGTCACCTACACCAGATTGCAAGGAAACTTCAGCCCTACCAGCACAGAGTATGACTAAAGTGAAAACAAGGGCTACCTGGGCAGGTAAAGAGGCAAGCTGTGCGTAAAGTAACATGAACATGGTTATCACTTCCTTGTTTCCCTGGATTCCTTATAAGGTATAAGGGGAAATTCATTCAGGTGCAGATTTCTGTCAATCCCAGTCACTCTGGGTCCTAGAGCAACCCAGCCAAGGCGGAGGGGTTTTGTGTGCACAGCAACTCTTTGAAGGCTCCTCTAAAATAACGCCTTTTATTGTTCCCTCATGGAGTGCGCTAGCTCGATGGAGCATTACGACTACCAAGTGAGCATACCTGGAGAGATGTAAAAATCCCATTTTTTCAGATTTCCTGTTGTGGAGCAAAACTTCTAAAGGTGCCTGTGGGAAAAAAAAAAACAACAAAAACAAATGCAAAAAAGCAATCATTCATTATAATTGAGGACCTGGCTTCAGTGGTTCGAGGTGGAGAGTACATTTATTTTATTAACACTGCAAACTGAAAACGAAATGCTGCAGTTGTGGTATTTTTGTTAATATGTAGAAGAAGGAATAATTGCATTCTCAATTATGCAACTGCTTGGAAAAAACTTCATGTCAGCTTTAACTCTATGTCATAAGTGACTAAATATTCTACAGCTTAGATATAACGATATAACAAGTTCTGATATCTTTCTTTCCCCCACGATCCCCGGAAGAAAAGGCAAAACATGCATTTCTTACAACCTTATTAAAAGGAAATAAAATTTCCTATTTGTAGATTTCATCTCTCCCCATCTTTCATGCTCTGCTATTGTCTGTTTTGAAAATCATTTGTTCAGGACAGCCCCTCTCTTATCATACGCGACTCTATACAGTGCAGCATAAAATTGTCATTTTGTTGTGGGTGTTGCTAGCCTGAAAATATGTATCCTTTTTTCTACAGTCAGAAACCCTACCAAAGTTAGCTCACAAGGACTAGGTTGCTCTCACCAAGAAAACTGGCAGGCTCAGACCTCTGTTTCCAGAACGGTGGTAGCTGCAGTCTTGGGGCAGGATATAAAGGTAGGGATAGGTCTATACTAAACTCAACACGCCTGAAAACATTCCTGGGCACTGAGGCCAACTGGCACAGAAAGACCTGAGTTTATGCTTGCAAATTGCCTGTTGGGACCATTCTAGCAACCAAATTGTGCCCAGAAATTGTTTGCAGAGTGTTAATTGAAAGAGGTCAAATTCATGACAGGGAGCATTTTAGCAGTTTAATAGCAGAGGCAATCTCATTCTAGTGCCTGGAAATATTCCCAGGCACATCCAATTTTACTAGTATTTACACAGTCTATGAGTAGTTTCAAAGCAGTTCAACATGGATTACGTCAAGACTACCTTTGCTCTGCCCTTGTGTTCCCGCTCCTTTGCTCCTACCAGTACTCGTGTTCAAACAAACTGTGAAATGACTCAAACTGATCCAATTGAAATCCAGTCACCTTCCATGGGGAAGGCGGGAGGCTGCTTTTCACCTAGGTGGGTTCCTTGAACTGTGTGGCTGCGCAGTCCAGAGTGAGTGGCAAGGTCAAGGGAGGGATTAGGAAAAAGGCAGAGAGGCAGAGTTGGCAGCAAAGGTGGGAATATGTTAGGCTGAATTTATCCCAGTTTAGGCTGTTGTGGGACAGTATCTCAACACTTCTGTTTACAATAGCATTCCGAAGCCTCCTTCTATTGCTTTTTATACCTTGGAGTGTCCTTTGTAAAGCACTTTTTCAGCTACAGCAATTTTCTGTGCCATGAAAACAGATCGATTAGATTATGCTCCTTCAGCTGGTGAAGATGCAACTCCATGAGGACACTGTAACTATGGAAGGTCAAAAAGACATGGAATCAACTGAATGTGCTTGTTCCTACTAGGAAAAAAATCTTTCTGTTAAGTACAATCCAAAGAATCTTATTTTACTGTTTTAAATTTACATTTGTGTGCATGTTCTTTAATATTGCTGCTTGCAGAGCTTCAAAACCCACAGCTTTTCTTCTCAACGTAGAAGGTCACTATGTAGGTCTTACTAGGCCTTGGTAATGTAGCAGCACTTCAATCCATGTGCTCAAATGACTTGGTGGCAGTCCTTCAACCACCAAAAGGTGCCAGACACCAACAGTGTCCCAGATTAAAGACCAGCCAGCTGAACAGCTGGCAGTTAGCAAATGCTTATCCTTAGGTTCAAGATGATATAGAACTTTGTAGTGTAGGGAGAATAAATAATACAGCCTACATAAAACTTACAAATTCTGTTTGATATTATCAGTTTCCCCATTTGCTTGTGTGGTTATATTTTATACACGTCTTGGCAAGGACAGCATGACTGGAGGCTAAGTGCCTACCTCTGAACGGGATGGTGGCCAGATTATCTGAATAAGTCTTACCTGAATAAAATAAGGGAGTTTCTCCAAATTATTAAGAACAGACCTCCCCAGATGGCCTGGAGAGAGCAGAAAAGGAAAAGAAAGTAGTAGAGCAAAAAATGACGGAAACACACAGGGAGAAATAAGAGAGAAAAATCAAGGTCAGATTTGATTTTATAATCTCACACAAGGGGAAGCTCACAAGACTGGGCAGAGTGGCAAAAAATCCCCTCAGTGATAGGGAAACAAGAGGTTAAGAGAGGTCTGGAAAGGGAGACAGCATGTACCGAGAGTAGATCTTGGGCAAGGCAAGGAAACCTATGCAGGAAGCTGACCGATGATTTTTGTTTTGAAACGTCACCAAATAAATATCTTGTGTTATATCTAAAGGTAAGTTGACCAGGAAATTCCTCTACTAATTTACTGCTTTACTGTCTTTAACTATCACACATGCTGGAAGAGTAGAATTGCAATTTGGAGTGCTGATGTGGGGAGGATGCATGAAAGTCCTTGTGGTCCTGCCATTGCTTGGTCTGACAGCAAGGTCCCCCTTCTTTATAAGGTTTGGAAGACAGAGTCCAGTCTATCTTTAACAAACTCACTGGCAGGTAACAAACATGGAATATTGAGGTACAGAAAGGAAGCAAGCTAATGTTGGGGACGGGGAAGAAGAAATCAACTAAAAAACATTAGACTCAAGTTGCATTTCATTAATAATAGTGGGTATTTTTTCTCTAGAACAGTGGTGTATCCTTTCTGTCACAATGAGATGAATGCACAAGTCAGTCTTGTGATAGGTCTGCAGAGGTTCCAGAATGGGAAGTGTTTGCCTACAGAAGCCCTCCTCACCATTGGCCCATTCAAATCTAAAAATTACTTCATTTTAGAAAAAATACCAGTCTCTCCTGCAAATAGCTTATAAACTGATGCAGCATAATTATACACATAGAGGGAGACCCTCCCAAGAGAAAACAGCAACTAGCTCCTTTTATGCTAGACAAAACCTGGAAGAGGAGGTCTGTTAGCTCTAGTGAAAGCTTATCAGTCAACATAAGAGATCAGTACGTCCCACACTCATCGGAGCAAGGAAAATCTCTTTCAATTTGAAGCTGGAGAGCTATCCCTATAGAGGAGAAATTCTTGGGAGTTATCTCTCAGCCTCACACACAACCCAGCTCTTAATTCCCAGGGCTCTTCTCACACACACTCCACCCTGAAATCCTGAAAAAATACAGAACAATTTAAAGTCTGAAGGTCCCATGAGCTGAGACGGTTCTCAGAGCATTTACAAAGGTGGGGGAAAGTGTCTCCTGCACTTCATTTCTTATGTCTTGCCCTTCATCAGAGAGTTCTGTGGGACTGGAAGCAGTGAGGTGGTGTCTCCTTTCTCTCCATCATATAAGGCAATGTTCACCTCCTCAATGCATCTGCAAGAGGCAAAAGGGCTACACTCCTTAGGTCAGCAGCAGGTTGCTTTGAATTTGAAACATCTGATGCCTTTATTCTCTCCCTGGTTGGCTTCCAAATCAAATCCATCTAGAAGGGTCCTGAGGATCTCTAATGGGGAAATCAGAGCAGACTTTCTAAGTTTTGGTCAAACTTTTTAACCTGAAAGATAACAGAAGAATATGCAAAAGTCTACAGAATGAGTGTTTAAAATACTTTTCTCCCAAAGAAGACATATGTTCTGTAGCTGCACAGTCAATGCTTCCAGACTCTTGCACCAGCAGAAATGGAAGGCATTTTCTTCAGAAAAAGTCTACCCTCACATACATGTCTCAGCAGCCTGACAGACCCAGTTCCAAAGAACAGCAATGGCAAATGTTTCAGAGGATGCTTAAAACTTAGATTCCTCTCTAAGGAACTAGAGGTGATTTGAGTAGCCACATAGTGGTGTGAATGTCCTGCAAACACGCCAACCCAGCACAGACAGAAACCACACACAAACACTGCAATGACACTGGAAGGACTGTCATGACTCTAACTTTGCTGCAGCATAGGTCCTGGCAATACTTAGAGAGAGCTGGCTAAAACACAGAGAGAGGAAGCATTCAGGACCCCTATAAACACCATGGAGCCTGTAGTAAATGAAGATCTGAGTGTACAGTGACTGAGCAGCTTCACTCCAGCTTCCATGTTTTGTGGTGTACTAATATCGTACCCTGATAGAAGCCTAGGACCAAAACACTGCTGTGTGGGGTAAGCCACAGAGTCCACCAGAGGTGTGGGTAGGTATGCGGAAAGGCAAAGGCCTTTCTTAATCTCCTCTCCGGGTACTGTTTGCAAGAACAGCTACACTCAGTGGAGAGTGGCTTTAGAAGAAGATGAGGGGTGTCTGTAGCTCCTTCCAGTGGGTTGCAGGAGCTGAAGAGTCACACAGATGAAAGGAATTTTCCCCTTCCAGCTCTGAGCAAAGTGTGGTGTTTGGGATTCGTGACTCAGGCCATGATTCACACTCTGGTCTCTCCTCATTGCCAGAGCAGTGTGCTGCTGCTAGATGAGGGCAGAGATTGAAGTCAACAACCTACCTCTGAACAGAGAGGAGAAGGAGGAAGAAGAAGGAATTGCTCACCAAGTGAGCAATGAACAGGCAGGCAACACCTGGGGTGTTTTCCCACTCGTATTTACCTTGCCCACAGCTCTGACCGGGCTGGCTCCAGCCGAGGGTGTGAGCAAACCTTTGTTCCTGGTTTCCCTCAATGGGTGAGCACCCTGGAAGATTTGTCTGCCTTTCAGATTTGAATACATTCTCACACCCAAAGTGAAATAATCAACTTCTGAACTGCAGAAGGGCTCAAGGGAAACCAGTGGGAAAATCACTGGCATTCAAGCAGGTCTGCCAGCCGGCCAGCCAGGACACTCAAAACTTGACGGGGATTTCCACAGAGCCTATCACATCTAGCCTCAGTTCCTGTTTGCTTTATACAGTTATACAGTACACCTTGTTCTCCCTATGCTATAAAAGCCTGGTACTGGGGCACCAGGGCAAGCGCCTCTGTTCAGTGCTG